GGCATCCCTTTCCGGAAAAGGGATGCTAATGAGACACTTCGGAATTGCAAATCCGCGGGGGATTTAAATATCCCCCGCAGCATTTGCATTTCCCTGGCTGCCGCTTTTTTCTGGCTCGGGGTTTTTGCCAGAGAAAAGCGCCAGTGTAGACGCGATTTTCTGGAAAATAAGCCCTTTTCCAGGAGATCCCTTCCTACTTTCAAGTAGGAATAAGAGATCTTCTGGAAAAGGGCTTATTTTCCGGAAAATTGCATCTACACTGGCGCTTTTCTCCGGCAAAAACCCCGAGCCGGAAAAAAGCGGCAGCCATGTAAATGCAAATGCCACGGGGGATATTTAAATCCCCCACGGATTTGCAATTCTGAAGTGTCTCATTAGCATCCCTTTTCCGGAAAGGGGTGCCAATGTAGACACAGCCAAGGAGTTTGGGTTGCGCATCCCTGCACACAAAGTGATGAGGCGTGTTGTGAAGACCTCATCAACCCCGAGCCGGAAAAAAGCGGCAGCCATGTAAATGCAAATGCCACGGGGGATATTTAAATCCCCCACGGATTTGCAATTCTGAAGTGTCTCATTAGCATCCCTTTTCCGGAAAGGGGTGCCAATGTAGACACAGCCAAGGAGTTTGGGTTGCGCATCCCTGCACACAAAGTGATGAGGCGTGTTGTGAAGACCTCATCCCTGTGTTTCAGCCAGTTTTGCCATGTGTACTCTGTTCAGGGGCAGCCCGTCCATATAGGCGAACTAGGCGGTCGCCTAGGGCACCAAGTTAAATGGGGCGCCAAATGGTGGCGCAATATCATTGAGGTGGGAGGTGGGGGTGCCGATTGCATGTTTCACCTAGGGCGCCAGTTGCTGGCAGCTAGTCTAGGGCCGCCCGTGACTCTGTGTGATGTGAACGGGGGTGGTCACAGGCAGATCTGTGCCCAACCGCTTCAAGCAAATGTCCGCCCCACCAAAATGTGAACAGAGATTTTAATTTGTAGGCAAACTTCCCCCCGTCCCAGTCCAGGGTTCTCAAAGATGCACCCGCCACTCTGCAGTAGTTCTAAACCTGGCTTCAGCTGGGTTCGAGTGGAATACACTCCGCCCCGGCGCCTTTGAGACCTCCTTTTACCGTGATCTCTCTCCTGCCAGTGCTGTGCATTGTGCCCAGTGGAGGAGGTGGGGAGTGGCTGTGTGAGTGAATGGGAATCCTTATGCTGCGTGGAAGCATTCAGAATAACTGCTTTGTGATCTTTTCATTCCACTGCTCCTCCAGTCCATGGCCGCTTAGGCCACACCCCTGCCAGTGCTGGTGTGACACAGAGCAGGGGGTGCAAGGCTGCTGCACGTCAGTTTCAAGTGCAACCAGGTGCCAGACTTGGCTGCAATTAAAGTTAAGCCCCAGCTGTAACTGACCTACCAAGTGGAAGAACCACTAACCCTCATGGCCCCTGCATGCTCACTGCCTTACTCTGCAGGTGCTGGAACAGGGCAAGGCTGAGCAGTGAGTAGACATGTTGGCAGAGAGGTAGCCTTAGTGTGATCTCCAACATCCAAACATGGCAATTGACTATGCTCTTCCCCTTTTGCCCTTACTCCTGCTATGGGGCAGGAGTAACTTTGTGGCCCCACAGCAGCACCCTCATTAATGCAGGCTTGGATCTCTCAAAGCTCCATGTCATGCTGCTTGTTTGCTTGCTCTTTGCATAGTTGGAAAGCCCAGCGCCCCTGACCTGTGCTTGGCAGAATCTGGCTCTGGGAGGCAGCGTCCTCCAACCATCGTCTTGCTGCTGCTGCTGATGGGCTCTCTTTTTTTCTTTAAGCATGCCAGGACGTGGCTGTGGAAATCCGGGGCGGGATTGAGGAGTTCAGACCATATATCCCCCTGATTCAGGGCCTGCGCAATCCGGGCATGCGGAACCGGCACTGGGAGATGCTGTCCAAGGAGATCAACATCAACATTAAGCCCAAGGCCAATCTGACGTTTGCTCGCTGTCTGGACATGAAGCTGCTGGACCACATCGACAGCATTGCCAAAATAGCTGAGATCGCGGGCAAGGAGTTCTCCATTGAGAATGTGAGGAGAGCATCTAACGAGGCTTCCTTTCAGGGTCATAGTTCATGCCCCAAAGGTGTCTCTGGGTGAAAGCTTTTCTTATGAGAGCTAGGGATGGGAATGTTTAACCGGTTCACTGGTGGGGGCTGGAGCAACTCCTCACCTGCCATGGCATGGGTCTGTCCCTGCCCCGCGGGGGTCCTGCCGCAGAGCAGCCTCTGTTGGTGGCGGGCACGGTCACCCCACAGGCAGGGGCTGCTCCAGCCAGGACGACGGAGCAGTAGGGTTAACCGGTTAAACAATATGTTTAACTGGTTAACCAATTAAACGGGATTTTATATCTCTAATGACAGCTCCATGCTTTCGTGGGCATTAACATTCACTCTGAGCGTTACCGAAATCCCAGAGAAAAGCTGCAGTCGTCGGAAGGTGTTGGTGGCCTTAATGACTGGACGAATCCTTTGTCTGTGTGTCAGGGAGATTAGCCATTGATAGGGTGAATGAGCTACAATACCGGGTGTGTATGGAAACAGGGCAGAGAATGGGAGGGGCCAGGGGTTTGACGGAGAATTTTAATCCGAGGGTTCAGATGGGGGCCCAAGACCCCTACCAAATCAATTCCTGACACCCTTCTTAAGCAACCAGCTTTATTCAGGAATGCATTCCAGGGCAAAAATCTCCAGGATACTCTCAGGAAAAGTTTTGCAACTTCTCAAACAAAAGGCAATGTCTTTTGTACTATCTTACATGGTAATCACCCCTTTCTCACTGCCCACTTACAGTTGCACGCATACACAGGTCATGCCCCTTTGCACCAAATTCCCTCCAATCATTACCTGCCCCCTCACAGTCCCTTTTCAGGCCTTACAACAGGTTCAAACCAGTTTCACCTATCCCCTCCTGGTTGTATACCTGTGTCCAAGCACGTACCTTTTTACAAAGACCAGACTTAACATCCAGGTCACACAGAGGTCATACTGACAACAAATTAATTTTATCCGTCAGGTTCTTTGATCATATAGTCTTTCACCTTCAGCTTGCCTGTTCAAAAGGGGCTTATCATGGTCCGGATTGAAAGTCACTATCCTCGGTCAGCTGTTTGTTCTGTGAAGTGGGTTGTTGAGCACTGGGCTGTTCCCAGGGGGCAGATATCCCCCCTGCAAAAGCCACTGTCTCTAGTGGCGCACTGTGGCCAGACTCAGTGGGGGTGCCATGACTCCCGTGGGAATGGAAAAGACAGTACTCTGTCTTCCTCAAGGCTGGGCCTTCAGGAACCTTGCCTGGGCCGGGCAGACAGAGTCCGTGCTGCGGCTGAACGTTCTGTGAATTACACAGACGCCTGCAATTCCCAGTGTGGAGACTCATGCCTTTCACAGGCACATGCCTCGCTCCTGTAGGACGGTATCTGAGAGACGCGTAGCTGGAGGGACACGTCACGCCACGTCCAGGCACTGACACCTAAGCTTAAATTGGTTCTCCCTGTTTCCCAGGCACTTGATAAGATGGAGGGCGAATGGGAATCCGTCCTGTTCAATGTGCTGCCGTATAAGAGCACAGAAACCTACATTCTGAAGAGCCCCGATGAAGCCTCCCAGCTCCTGGATGATCATATTGTCATGACGCAAAGCATGTCCTTCTCCCCTTACAAGAAGCCCTTTGAGGACAGGATGAACACCTGGGAAAACAAGCTGAAAATGACACAGGTACCAATTTGCCATCAGCTGCCATGTGGTCAAAGGAGGGGGTGGGGCTGTTGTGGGGCTGTTGCACTCCCGTTGCTGACAAGAGTCTACCTGAGGTGTAGCTCTTCTCGCCGTGCATAGTTCTGTCGACTTACGTAGTAATTCCCACTTTCCCTAGGTCCTGTCGCAGTCAGACTGCCTGGTGAGGGCGTGATCCTGCAAGGTGCTGGGCAGTTTGGTCCCGATCCGGCAAAGCACTAGAAGCACATGCTTTGCTTTGACTAGCATATGAGGAGTTCCACGTTAGTGCTCCCCATACATGCTTACAGTCCTTCGCCGGTTCAAGGCATGGAAGGGAATGCTGAGTACTCAGCAGAGATCACACCCAGCTTAGGCTTAGTCACAGATGGGGGCAGGAAACAAATCCTAATTAGCTAATGTCCATAGAGTGCTTTGCAAATTATGGAAGTGACACCCTTGTCGTTGGTTGAGTATAATGATTTCATGTTACTTATGGGAACTTACCGGCCCTTGTCTGATTGGGCAAGGGGGTGTCAAACCTGCGGTACTTGGCTAAGAAAGGTGCAGAAGGGCACCCCTTACCCTATGGAAGTAGGTTGTGTGGTGGTCTGGCTATATATCGGTTAGTGTGTGTTTTGGCTGTGACACTGGGTGTGTTTTTGTCCCTGGCTGCTGCTGTTCTTTTTTGCAAGCATAAAGTCTCAACACATTGTTAGGTGCCCATTTAACTGTACTGACACACAGGTTGCTGGACTGCTTTCCAGCAATGAATTTGTCAGTGACGGCGGAGGTGTAAAGCTGAGGCAAGAGCTGGCATCTTCTCTGCCAGCGTCACAGTATGGATTACACTTAAAGGGGGTTACTTTCCACCAGGAGTGGAGAGCATTTTGGTGTATGCTCCAGCCCTGGGGAGGATGGTGGGGGGCTGGAGCACCGGCATGGGCTCCCCAATGCTGGGAAGAGCCCTGAGTTTCAGGGGGCCAGATCCAGGCAAGCTGGGGGTCGCATCTGGTCCCTGGCCCTTAGGTTCCCCACCCCTGCTTTAGGCCATATAAAGACTATCTGTGCATTCAAAATACATGGCAAATTCCATGAGATTGAATGTGGGATTCTATCCAGTGTCCTTGGCAATTCTAAAAGAATTCCTTATTGAGGGGATCACAGCCAAAGCCAAAAGTGGGAATCCTCCTTTAACACTTGAGGCAGATTTGAAAATCTCAGCTGAGGAAATCTGGCCATTGAATTGGAATTGGGCATGCAGATCCCTTAGATGACTTGAAAATCTCATATTTAATGGGTTTCAACTTCATGTAGACGTTTGGTATATGTATAGCTATGTGAGTGCTCACAGAGCCCTCTTCTGCCAGTCATTACGAAGAAGACACTTAATTATACACCTGTCTGCCCATTTCAGTATGAAGAGCAGCGAGGAAAGTGAGCCTGAGATGAGGAGCACCAGCAGCTCCCAGTGAAGTGGCGTGCATGGCACTTCTCAGAACCAGGCCCCTGCGCTGCGCTATTCTGTTTTAACCTGGCTAAAACACATCACTGTATTTTTTTAAGATTAAACATTGGGGCCCTCCTGTCTCCAGTAGCTGCTTTGTCCAGCTGCTCATATAATGCGTTAGCCTGGCTCACTGAAGTCAATGGGAGTTTGGCCAGGGAGTTCTGGGCCGGTGTGAACATATCTGGCCCATTCTTTCCCAGAGCGTCCATGACTCAATGTTTTCCCTTTTCCTACATTGACACTAGGGATGGTATTGTCAGAAGTGCTCCATCTTGATTTAACTCTGCTAATGGGAGCAGAGTTCAGCCAGTCCTGGCTCTTCTGCAAGCCCCCTGCGAATGGATTACAAGGAAATGACCCTGGTTTGTTATACCTATGGTAGCTTCTGTCAAGCTGGCTGACTATCCTGCTCTTGCTACATTCACCCTCCCAGCAAGTGGCCAGGTTGTATTCACTTGCTGTCTCTCAGACATACCTGCAGGGTGTAGTTGGGATGTACAAATGGTCTATTACAGACACAACCGATGTTTTCCAGAGTGAATACAGTGTTTAACATACGTTCCATTGGGTTCAGGTCAGTGCTCCGGAAGTCTGCAGAGTGAAATTCCTTAGCCTCTGGGATAGTGATGTGCAAATATATAACCAGTGGGCCTGGGGGGAGACAGGCCAGAGCCAGCGTGCACGGCAGCGGGCTTAAAAGCTGGTTCCCTGCGTGCACCGGCTCCCGGGGAACCAACTGCTGCCCCCATGTGTAAACCATGTATCTGCTGAAAATGTCACCGGTTATATGGTTCCTTAATTAAATGCATTTTAACATCCGGGCGCTGTCATCTTTTTTGAAAACCCGAGTCACACAGCACTTTGGAGTGTCTCCTGAAGGCTGCCATCTGCTTGAAGAGGGCTTTGTTTGAGACCATCTGTACGGACGGTCCAATGAAGAGGTCAGAGAGAGAAAGGCCCTGTCTGAACTATACCAAAAATGTGTAAACGTGACTGATGAACATGGTGGTGACTTAATCATGGTCTAGCATGGCTTATTCTTGCCTGTGGGAACAGGGCCATGTTTTCATTTCAGAATCTGCCAGGGTCAATGTGTGGTTCTTTAAGGGTGTGTCTAGACTACAGGGTTTTTTTTGAAAAAAGTGGCCTTTTTTCTAAAGAACTTCCCCTGCGTCTAGACACACCCGTATTCTTCTGGAATTAAATCAAAAGAATGCAGCAGTTTTTTCGACCGCGGAGAACCTCATTTTACAAGGAATAATGCCTTTTTTCGAAAGTGCTCCTTCGAAAAAAGGAGTTATTGAATGCAAACTGTGCTTTTTCGAAAGAGAGCATCCAGACTGCCTAGGTGCTCTCTTTTGAGAAAGCAGCTCTTTTTTGAAAATACTGCTTGCTGTCTAGACAGTCTCTTTCGAGAAAAGCTTTTTCGAAAGATTATTTTGAAAAAGCCTCTTTCGAAAGAGGTTTGTAGTCTAGACGTAGCCTCACCTAGATATTGGATGGTATTTTTGTCCTGTTACGTAGGTGAAAAAAAGGATTTGTCTGCATCCACATTTAATAGGTTTTTTGTAATTTCTGCTCCTCAGTTAGCCGCTTAACCTGCATTGAGCATGTTTCCTCCCCACCCCGGTTCCAGTGCTAGCAATGGTGCACGCCCTGATGTGGGTCAGACTCAGGCGTTCTTACCACCATGTCACTGACAGCTGCTCTGATCCGAGTGAGCTCACACAGTAATAAACCCAGCAGTCTCCGGTCCACATCAGCAGGTGCACCGTTGTTCAAGTATTGGTGCCAGCGAAGTGCAAGGAGAATTTCAGAACATCTTGTGGATGCAGCCTTCGGGATATATTCCCACCAGCTGAACAAGTCACTTCCTAGGGACACGCTACAGAGCTTTGCTAGGGTCTGGGGAGCTTGGAGCATCACGTAAATGACACTGAACAATGAGATGTTCTTTCTAGGGCTTAGCTGATTTTTGAATTGTATTCTGAATCCCTTTCAGGATGTATTTCCTCTGGGTTTTCTCACCTTAGGGATATGTCTAGACTGCATGGCTCCGTCGACGGAGCCATGTAGATGAGTTTACTAGACATAGGAAAATGAAGCGGCGATTTAAATAATCGCCGCTTCATTTACATCAAAATGACCGCCGTGCTGTGCCGATCAGCTGTTTGGCCTCACAGCGGGGCAGTCTGGATGCACCGCGGTCGACAAGGGAAACGAAATGAGGTTTACTGGAGCGGTCAACAAAGGCTTCCCTTGTTGACCGTGGCGCGTCCAGACTGCCCCACTGTGCTCCCAAACAGCTGATCGGCTGCGGCCATTTTGATGTAAATGAAGTGGCGATTATTTAAATCGCCCCTTCATTTTCCTATGCCGGGTAGTCTAATCTACATGCCTCTGTCGCCAGAGGCATGTAGTCTAGACGTACTCTTAGAGGAATTTATCCAACTATTTGATCTGAAGTGTCTTAATTGAAGTTTTCATTGAGCATTTTGTGTACAAGGTCAGATTGCGCTGGTATTGGCTGGCTGTTTGCCACCACTTCTCAGCAGAATCAGATGTGATTGCCAAAACTTAAGCTTTCATCTTAAAACACAGTATAAACTTTGCAGTTCGTGATGCAAAGAAAACCACCTTAGGACTTGTCTCTGGGGAGCAGTAATACACACCATGGGGGCGTGGCTTGTAACCTCCACTGTGTTGCACATTAATTGGTCCGTATAGCCCCCGTTGGTATGGGCTAGAGGTTCCCTGCAAAAACAGAGAGAAGTCCTGGCACCTTAGGGCATGTCTACACTAGGAAACTATTTTGAAATTACTAAAATCGATGTAATAACTCCTGAGATAACAACATCGAACTAGCATGTCCACGCTACAGGGAAGTGGCAAAATTAGCCAGAGGCAAGCTTTGTTAATGTGGATTTAGAACCCCAGGAAGCACTGAGGAGTAATTAGTTCAAATGACTCTGGGGAGTCGTTATTTTGAAATAGCAGCCCTGGAGCATCCACACTGCCACTATTTCTGAATTTGTGTTATTCCCTGAGGAAAGCAGGAGTACAGATTTTGAGATAATTGGCCTGTTATTTTGAAATAGCGGGCTTGGTAGTGTGAACGCTCCACTTATTAATTCAACCTAAGGCTCTCTAGTGCAGACCAGGTTTAGAGACTAACAGATGTATGAGGGCATAAGCTTTTGTGGGTAAAACCCACTTCACCAGATGAATTGGAGATTCCCTGGCATGCCATAACAGAGGACCGTTTGAATCTGGAGTGCACAGCAGGGTCTGCACAGACCAATTCATGACAAGACGTTAGTCATTGCTAGCTCTGGAAATCACACCCATAGGGCCTAATACCCCACCCCGTAGACAAGCCCTTCATGTGACCTGATGTAGTGCTGTCGCCTGCAGCCGACAGAAGGAATAGCTCTAGCACCGTTAAGTCTGTGGCTGTTTTACTGTTTAGCTCAATGGGAGAAGTATAGGACCAGTGTACAGACGTGAACTGCCCCTATTCTTCCCAGTGGGTGTTGGCTCTTACATGTCAGGGAAGAGGCAATTATTCAGGGACGATGGGCGGAGCTTAGTATGGTGGGCGGCGTTTTAGGGGAAGATCTCCTTTATCTCCAGTCTGAGCCCCGGGCACGTGAGAGGAACTCTCCTAGCCACTGTATTTACTGCAGTAATCCTCTTGTCCTGACGACATGCCTTTCCGCCAGGATGTCCTGGAGGAGTGGCTGACATGCCAGCGCTCCTGGCTCTACCTGGAGCCCATCTTTAGCTCAGAGGACATCAATCGGCAGCTGCCCGTAGAGAGCAAACGCTACCAAACCATGGATAGGATGTGGAGGAAGATCATGAAGAATGCTAATGAGAACAGAGAGGTGAGTGCTCGCAGGGCCTGTGTGTACCCTGCAGTGTTCCCACTTCGTCCAAAGCCAAACTTGGCTCCTTTTCCTGTATTTTGTCTGTAAAGCCCCATGCTCACGTAAGGCACTGTGGGTATGTCTACACTACCCTCCTAGTTCGAACTAGCGGGGTAGTGTAGACATACCCTGTGTGAATAACACCTGTGCTCAGGGGAATTTCCTAGGTTTCTTCTTTTCAAATGCTGCTCGCACTGCAGCGGCCGGGGGGGTCTGAACCGTGTGCCGAATCACTAGGCATGGCCTTCTCACATCAGCGACTTGCCCTCTCTTCCCCCTCCCAGCAGAGCAACAGCCTTTGCATTGCTGTGGGTCCTTACACACAGGGCATCCCATGGCTTGCTCCATGGCGAATTCTGACAGATGCTTTTGGGGCTTGGCCTGGCTCTCTCCCACCACCCACTTGTACCTGCTTCCACTTCCCACCCCCACGGCTCCCTCCCTTCACCCCACATTCGGCCTCCTCAGCTCCATTCCCCCTGGTGCTGGCACCACCATTCTCCACCCCTTCCCCCGGGGCTGGGTCCTTTCCTCCACGGAGACGGCATCAGTGTTTGAATGTTGATGTGTGGACAGATCCGAAACACGTCCATTTGTCTCAGTCCTTAATGCAACTCCCCCTCCGTGCCCACAAAGCGCCCGTGAATGAGCCGTTCTGCTCCCGGCAATAGTGTCTCTCTGGAACCACCTGGCCTCCAGTAGGGTTACCTAACTAGGACTTGTGCACTGGTGCCTGTTCCAGGTTATTTCCCTGTGTCCCGATCCCAGGCTGCTGGAGAGCCTTCGGAAATGTAATCAGCTGCTTGACCTTGTGCAGAAGGGGCTGAGCGAATACCTGGAGACCAAGAGAGGAGCTTTCCCCAGGTAATCCCAAGGCTCAAGGCCTTTCTTATGTTCTACCGAACCGGGGGGTGAAGTCAGAGAATCCCGCTGGTTACATCTCCCGGGAACGAGTGTTTTGTGCTTTCCCATCCACAGCACGACCTCCTGCAGCTCTCCCGCGGGTGCAGGTCTCAGCTTTCAGCCCTGAGAGCTGATGGAGATAAAAATGGGGCAGGTTTGGGGGTGCGAGGACCTGCCATGGGCCAGGGCAAGGTGGGGCTTGTCTGCTAACAGCACCGCCTGGATGTGCCTGCACCTTTAAACATCAGCATGTCCAGGAAAAGCATGAGGAAGGGGAGATGAAGTGAAATGAGGGGGTATTAAATTTGGACCTTATTCTTTTTAGACCTACACCTGAGGTGCATCTACACGGTGGGGCTATTTCAGGATACTTCCAGTATTCCCAAATAGCTATTCCACTCCTTTGAAGCAAGCCTGTTATTTCGACATATAACGGGCTTGCTATTCTGACGTCACCGTAAACCTCGTTCCACAAGGATTAAGGGGCGTTTCGGAATAGCGGTTTATTACAGCGCCAAATGACAAAATAAACTATTTCGAATTGACTCAAAATAAGCTATGCAATTTGCGTAGCTCAGATTGTGTCGCTTATTTCCAGCTAAGGGTGCAGTGTAGACGCACCCTAGAGTCGTGTTTATTGCAGTGCGAAAGGGGAGTATAATACTGCCATTCTGATTGGGTGTAAAAGACACCCAACGCTCCACTGGCCTAAATAGCTGCTCTGGGGAAGGACATAAGAGAACCAGCCCCTTTGCTGCACAGAGGGGTTCTCTTTTATCTGGGCTGTGGTCACTGCTCTTCTGGAAATCGTCCAGGCAGATCAGCAGGCCGTCTTGAAGTCCGCCACTCCCCAACCTCTCAGCAGCCAGAGCCGAGCCCCGAGCACAGACTGAAATGAGCTGCTCGCTCTGTCTCTGTTTTCAGGTTCTACTTTCTTTCGGACGACGAGCTGCTGGAGATACTGTCCCAGACAAAAGACCCCACCGCCGTACAGCCTCACCTCCGCAAGTGCTTTGAGAACATCGCCCGGGTAGGTAACGCAGGCTGTTTCTTCTGGGGCCGGCAGGCAGGTCTGATGTCGGGAGTCATGGACTGTGGGAACGCAGAGCTATTCAGTGGGGGTGGAGAAGGGTAGGACACAGGCTCGCTCTCAGCATCTGGATTCTTTCCAACAGCCTCTGCATCTCCACGTGAAAGAGACGGGCTGACGTGTCTTTGTTCTCTTCCAAACTGCATTGAGATGGCAGGGGGTTGGTGCCTGGCTGGGATACGTTCTGCACTTGCTCTCGGTTGGTGATGATCAGTTCAGTACATCCTCAACAGAGACAGCGGCCTGACTCCTTGGGAGCCGCAAGAGAGGCCAAGAACTGAATGGGCCACGCAAGCTGAGTTACTCTCTCAGCCCTGGGTGTGCCGCCTACGTCAGGGTTGCCACTCACTAGCTGGGTCATACTCGGCTGATTTGCCTGGTTTATTATTTATTATTATTTCCTAAAGACTTCAAACTCCAGCACTGTCAGTCTGACCTCTCACGCCAGCACTAAAGATACATCTGACGGTCACTAGCTTAGTTGGGGGTCTGATGCAAAGCCTCTTGGAATGAATAGACAGACTTCCACTGGCTTCTTTGGCGCTTTGGACTGGGTCCTTACACTGTGGTTCGTGAAACCAGGCATTCTCACCTTGGGGACTGTGACCTGAAAGAACAGAATGGAGAGTATAGAGGATTTACTGATTCCTAGCCATGCCCTGAGACCAGGCATCCCTTGCATAGCTTGCTTCACTTCAGACCAGTTGCACCAGGGATGAGCTTGGGCTCTGGGCTGTCATATAATCCTGTTTCACTTCACGGAGAGAGACAGTGATTTTACACAGGTGTAGTACACTTCGTAACTACAACCAAACTGTGGGCCGGCTCTAGTGCTCGCCTAGATCAGTGTAGTGACCCAGCTTTGCACCAGCAGACAATCTGGCTCTGGTCCCCTGTGGTTAACTTTCCGTAGACCTGGAGGCATAGCTGTTTACTGTCAGTAGGACAAAACTACAGCCCACGTTCCTACAGAAACAATGCCTCAGTTCCTTGTGTGGTGGCCTGTGTTGTAGGAAGGCAGGGATAGAAGGGCATTTCTCTACTAATCTCGTGCTGTGATTCCCCCATCAGCTGCTCTTCCAGGAGGACCTGCAGATCACACACATGTACTCGGCAGAAGGGGAGGAAGTGAAGCTGTTTTTCCCCATTTACCCCACCGGCAACGTGGAGGACTGGCTGCTGGAAGTCGAGAAGTCTATGAAGGCCAGCGTACGGGACAATATTGAAAGATCCATCTGGGTGTATCCAAACGTGAGTCTGAGACCCCGCGCTGCTCCTCCGCTCCCCACCACAAGTAGGGAGGGAGTCCAGCAGGTGGCGTTTAGCAGGTCTTGGTGTCGAGAGTGGTCACCTGTGGCAGCGAGCAGAATTGCTTTTCTAAACCCTGTGGTTCTATAATGTGGCCTTTGACCCTGCTGTGTGATTCCATTTCTACCCCTCGCTCCCTCCTTGGGGACGGCTCTTCTCTTTCTTCTCCGCCAGCACGTGGATTGCCTGCCTAGCACAAAGTGAAGGTAGGTCGCACCTCCCTCAGGACCTGGCCAGTCCTGGATGAGGGATTTTGCCAGACTATGGAGGTCATTATTGGGTCCCCGAGCCCTGGACCAGCCGCCGCCCTCCTGGCTGACTCCCCCTTGCCACCAGCCTCGCTACTCTGCCAGTACCCCACCTCCTTCCCTGCTCTGCTGGGCAGCCCAGCTGCAGCCCAGCTCCCTGCGTGCTGAGCTCCTGGCCCCGCCGGGCAGCCCCCCTACAGCGCACTGAGCTCCTGGCCCCGCCGGGCAGCCCCCCTACAGCGCACTGAGCTCCTGGCCCCTCCGAGCAGCCCCCCTACAGCGCACTGAGCTCCTAGCCCCCCTGGGCAGCCCTCCTACAGTGCACTGAGCTCCTGGCCCCGCCGGGCAGCCCCCCTACAGCGCACTGAGCTCCTAGCCCCCCTGGGCAGCCCTCCTACAGTGCACTGAGCTCCTGGCCCCGCCGGGCAGCCCCCCTACAGCGCACTGAGCTCCTAGCCCCCCTGGGCAGCCCTCCTACAGTGCACTGAGCTCCTGGCCCCGCCGGGCAGCCCCCCTACAGCGCACTGAGCTCCTAGCCCCCCTGGGCAGCCCTCCTACAGTGCACTGAGCTCCTGGCCCCGCCGGGCAGCCCCCCTACAGCGCACTGAGCTCCTAGCCCCCCTGGGCAGCCCTCCTACAGTGCACTGAGCTCCTGGCCCCGCCGGGCAGCCCCCCTACAGCGCACTGAGCTCCTAGCCCCCCTGGGCAGCCCTCCTACAGTGCACTGAGCTCCTGGCCCCGCCGGGCAGCCCCCCTACAGCGCACTGAGCTCCTAGCCCCCCTGGGCAGCCCTCCTACAGTGCACTGAGCTCCTGGCCCCGCCGGGCAGCCCCCCTACAGCGCACTGAGCTCCTAGCCCCCCTGGGCAGCCCTCCTACAGTGCACTGAGCTCCTGGCCCCGCCGGGCAGCCCCCCTACAGCGCACTGAGCTCCTAGCCCCCCTGGGCAGCCCTCCTACAGTGCACTGAGCTCCTGGCCCCGCCGGGCAGCCCCCCTACAGCGCACTGAGCTCCTAGCCCCCCTGGGCAGCCCTCCTACAGTGCACTGAGCTCCTGGCCCCGCCGGGCAGCCCCCCTACAGCGCACTGAGCTCCTAGCCCCCCTGGGCAGCCCTCCTACAGTGCACTGAGCTCCTGGCCCCGCCGGGCAGCCCCCCTACAGCGCACTGAGCTCCTAGCCCCCCTGGGCAGCCCTCCTACAGTGCACTGAGCTCCTGGCCCCGCCGGGCAGCCCCCCTACAGCGCACTGAGCTCCTAGCCCCCCTGGGCAGCCCTCCTACAGTGCACTGAGCTCCTGGCCCCGCCGGGCAGCCCCCCTACAGCGCACTGAGCTCCTAGCCCCCCTGGGCAGCCCTCCTACAGTGCACTGAGCTCCTGGCCCCGCCGGGCAGCCCCCCTACAGCGCACTGAGCTCCTGGCCCCCCTGGGCAGCCCCCTGCAGTTCTCTGAGCTCCTGGCCTCGCCAGGCAGCCCCGCTGGGTTGTGACTGGCTGCCCAGATGCAGGGAGCCCAGCCACCAGCCTTCCACTGGGACTCTCTGGTCCTGAAACATCCATGGTCCTGCCGGATGACGGATGTTGCCAGACCAGGGAATCCCGGATAACAGAGGTTCAACCTGTGGTAACATGGGGCCAGATTAATTCCTGGGGCCAGGGGATGGACACTGGGGATGGACACAAGTAGAAAGGAAGGTAAAAAAGGATGGAGCATCAGAAATCTCAGGCATTATTATACTCTAAGAATCTGACTCTCCAATACACCAGAACTAGCTGTAAGAGTGGAAGTTTGTTCCCTTAGCTCCCAAGGGAGTCTTGCGTAGCCAGATGGTCTGTTGTAGAGAAGGCACCCAAGCATCCGTTGTCTGGATGCCCAGCATCTTGGGGAAGCTTTTTCGTGGCAACGGGAAAAACTAGGACGGAGAAGTAAGTCGAAATTGTAATATCTGAGGTGGAAGTGGATAGCTTCCGGACACGAGCCATGAAAAGGTGGAGCCTGTACAGAGATAAGGGATCGTGAAAGAAAAGAGATTTGTGGTGCTGATAGCTAATATCATGCGTGGTGGCGGTTGTTTTTTTAAAGACGCAGCGTACTTTGTGGGTCTTGCAATGGCCTGGGCAGGTGACCATCGCTGGCTGTCAGACCTTCTGGACAAAGGAAGTATCCGAGGCTTTGGAAGCTGGGGATTTGTCCACCAGGCTGTTTCCACAGCTGAGCGCTCAGGTAGGAAAGAGGAATGTGTCAGACCACGTTTCGGTCTCTTGTCACTTCCTCTGACCTCAGATCAGTCCCCGCCCATAAGCTGAGTATTGCTGCAGCTGTTTCCAGAGACATTTCCCAAAGTGAGGCCAAGGGTCTGCAGCAGTGTGTTACATTAGTATGGGAAAGAACTGAACTCCAAAGCAGTCACGCAAGATCTCGGAGTTCTGCCCTTGTCATCTTAACCTGCATGTGCCCGTCCCACATTTGACCCTGCGGAGCTGTTCTCCCATTGCTCGCTCATGCTCTACCATGGCGCTGGGGGGTGTTGGCCTTCTGGAGGTGTGATCCTTTGTGACATTTCCTCAGTCCACCAACACCCTGCCCTAAGTCACACCAGTGGCTCCTATGAAGGATGGTTCTCCCCACCCTCAGAGTGCCTGGCAATCTTGAATGTATTTATTCTTGCAGCGTCCCTTGGAGGGAGGGCAGCGCCATTATGCTCATTGTGCAGATTGGAACTGAGGCGGGGAGAGGCTAAGTGACTTGCCCAGACTCACAAGGAAGTCTGTGGCAGAGGAGGGAATTGAACCTGGGTCTCTCATGGTCCGGAGTAGTGCCCTGTCTACTGGGCTCCTGGCTGTCCATCTCCTGCCCTCCTTTAGTACCTTGTTGGTTAGAGAATAGGAGCCAAGGCAGTTCAGGGCCGGCTCTGACTAGCTTCCCTTCCCTCGCACAGCTGAGTGACCTGGTAGCCCTGGTCCGAGGAAAGCTGTCGAGGATGCAGCGAACAGTGTTGTCCGCGCTCATTGTGATCGAAGTCCATGCCAAGGATGTTGCTGCTAAGCTGATTGAGGAGAACGTGATGAGTGAGAATGATTTTGAGTGGATCTCTCAGCTCAGGTAAGGCAAACCTGCTCTGGATTAGGGATGTGAATGGGGAACCAGTTAAGGGGTAGGCCCCACCCTTAACGGGTCAGGCTTACTGGTCCCAGTTAACCAGTAGGAGCTGGAGCAGCTCCCCACCCCCAGTGGGCAAAGAGCTGCTCCAGCCCTGTGGGGCCTGCTGCAGGATTGGAGCAGGCCCTGGAGCAGGCAGGGACTGTTCCAACCAGCCATCCAGAACAGCCCTTGTCCACAGCGGGGAGGGCTGCCCTCCACCCTCCTCCCCCTTTCATCAGTTAACTGGTTACACATAATGTTTCACCAGTTAACCAGGATTTAACATCCCTAGTGTGGATTCACTGGCCACCATCCATTACTGACCGGCCGCGTCTGTAGCACGGCCGGAAAGCAAGGGCGTTTGCAGGGCGGGTCTGTTTAAGTGGACTGAATGCCTTGGGTGTATGTCGTGGTCTGTTACGCCGTCCTGATGGCTTGGCTGGACCCCAGCGCTTGCCTCTGGCAGGGCATGTTAGCACAGACCCAGGCTGCGGGCACTAGCTCCTTGCATGCAATACATGCGCTAGCCTGTGCCAGCACAGTCCAAAGGCATTGACCTGCCGCCCCTCTAAGAGGAGTCAAGTGGGGCGCCATGAGAATCCTGGACATCCCATTGCACAGCCCCTCCTGCTTGGCTCCTGGTGCCCAGAGAGGTCGGGGGTCCTCCCAGCCCGCACCTCTGCCCTCCTCCAGCAGGTGTTTCTAACCTCTGGCCCAGGGCTGGGGTGCACGGAGCTCCGCGGGCCTAGCGTGCAGGGAACGTTAGCAGTCATGGATAGTGGCCTTTTAGTCTTGCTGTTGCTGTGCCCTGCCAGGACGTTTGTCTCAGATCCCGTTTGCACTCCCCCTAGATACTACTGGGCCAGGAACGATCTGTACATCCGAGCAGTGAACGCTGAGTTCATCTACGGCTACGAATACTTGGGGAACAGTGGCCGCCTGGTGATCACCCCCCTCACTGACAGGTACAGAGATTCTGATAGCAAAGCACCTCCCTTGTCCTGGGAGAGCAGCCCTCATCCTGAGGTAAAGCCAGGCTCTGGCTCGGCTAGCCTCACGCGCGCTGAGCAGCACTTACGCACACAAGTGGCCTGAGGGCCGTTGGTAGAGCCAAGCGGTACCAGAGCGATGGTAGATCGGGCCCGTACAGCCACCGCATGGGTTGCAGGATTCACGTCCCGCTGTCCCGTTACAGCTTTGTGTATGACGTGGCACGGCAGGGTTCTTTGTGAACCGTAAAACAAAAGCCATCTGAATAACAAAGGGCCCATTCTGTTCCTGTGGATAGGTAAACCAGTACCAGGGAGCATGTATGTTTCCCAATAAAAACACCTAGCTCTCATATAAAAACGATGAGTCGTCCTATGGCACTTCAGAAACTAACAAAAATATCGAGGATCATGAGCTTTTGTGGGGAAAACCCACTGCCCCACATGAGCTGGAGTGGAAATAACAGAAACCAAGAGGGGGAAAAGGTATCTGTCAATTGTAGGACAGGTGCTAATGAGGCTAATTAAGTGGGCTGAAAGTGTCCCATTCTTAGCTTTTGATGTAAAAATGCAGTTGTTAGAGGCCGGGGAGACTGGCTTTATAATGTGACAGCCAGTTAATGTCTTTGTTCGAGCCCAGGGAAACCGTGTCAGATTTGCAGATGAATACCAATTCCGCACTCTCTCTGAAATTGGCTGGTGCTATTCCTTTGTAAAATGGCTACTAGCTCTTGTATAATAATCATCCTTACAGACAGAGTCAATTTCCATCAAGCCATGCGAGTCCCATTAATGTTATCCCAAGCCGCTTAGCTAAATCCCGGTGCACTGTAAGTAAAGCGCTCTGAATAACATGGGATGGATTTCCTGTGATCACACCAGGCAGACAGATAAAGCAGGTCACCTTAAATAATGAAATGTCTGTGATCACACTTGGCAGACAAATAAAGCAGGTCACCTTAAATAATGAAATAGGAGCTGCAGCTCGTAAGCCCAAGAAGGAACGCCTCTAACGATCACCGGTTTCTGCACTGCTGTAGGTGCTACCTGACGCTTACTGGAGCCCTGCATCTAAAATTTGGAGGCGCGCCTGCAGGGCCTGCCGGAACAGGGAAAACTGAAACCACTAAAGATCTGGGGAAAGCTCTCGCCATCCAGACTGTGGTGTTCAACTGCTCTGACCAGCTTGACTTCATGGCGATGGGGAAATTCCTGAAGGGACTTGCCAGGTGCAAAAAGTGATCTAAGGGAACTGGAATGCCCCCGGGCCTTCCCAGTGGGTGAGGGGGAGATGCTGGGAGTTAAATGGAGGAAGCTCTTGGCCACATGGAAGAGAGGGGAGTCTGGGGGAATGAAGAGGGCCCATCTGGATTGTTTTAATCCTCCAGGGGCTTTGCAGTGCCAGAGCAAATGAGCGCGGGAAGGTCTGCGGGCTGCTAGCCTCATGCCCGTTGGAAGGAAAGATAGAGGCATTGTTGGGCCAATATAAAAGAAGAGCTGGATTCTTGTCAAGTAAAACTAAGCTGCTTTGCACCATTTGCTTTGGGGCGGTGTACACGGGCACGTCTGACCCTTTGCACGGTATCTTACGTGTCAGGCCAGGGTCAGCCCTCAGCTTTCAACTCTCCAGAGGAGAGACCCTGCTGGGATCGAGCAGCCAGGCCCCCAAGGAATGCAGAGTGAATTCTCTGCATGTCAAGCAGAGCTAGTCCAGCTGTGCCTTGCACGTGTGCAGCCAGCACAGTCGATAGCTCTCCACAGACCTTTTCTTGCAAGCAGCTTCATGGGCAGACCTCTCCTCCCGGAACGCAAGGCAGGCATCTTGGCTGTCGCAAGGACATCAGCTGCATCCGCAGTCGGGGTACAAAGCAAGGCACAGCTGATGGCCCTTCCAGCAGCAGGCCTGGAATCTGCTGAGCTGGTATTAGGCTGCACGTGGGGTTACCTCCCCTAGTAACATTGGTATAGGAGCTGAGGACAGTTGTGTCCATTTCCTGTCTCTCTCTGACATGGCCACCCCCCGGTCTGGCAGTTCAACCCAGGCCCACCGATGGGAGGGGGAAATGGGGCATTTGCCCCAGGGCCTGGCAATTCAAAAGGGCCCAGGGCTCCCGGCCCCCAACAATACTACTGTGCAAAGGGCTGGTGGGTGGGAGGTGCTGGACAGTCCGGGTGCTCCTCAGGGCTGACTGTCCCAGCCCTGCTTTTTCTGCCCAAGGCCTCTCCTTCCAGGAGTGCAGAGCCTCCCCACCCAGCAATTCTGTCAGCCTCTCCCTCCCTCCCCCCGTCCACCTAGCCCTGACGCTGCCCTGCTGCCCCCTCCCTGCTTAGCTCCGGCGCGTGGGCCTGCTTCGATGAGTTTAACCGCATTGACGTGGAGGTGCTGTCGGTGGTGGCCCAGCAGATCGCAACCATTCAAAAGGCCCAGCAGCAAAGGGTGAGTCGCGGTGTGTGTCTGCAGAGAGAGGGGCAGGCCTGGCCTTTCCCTTCTCCGCCCTGCGCTTGGTTCTGGTCGTAGAGCCAGCGGCCACACTCTGTCGGCCTTCACTGCAGTGCAGGCAAGATGTGGTACCGCCCAGGTGGGTTGCTCATAAGCAGCTGAGGGAATTGACGGAGTTATCCGGCCTCCAGGTATTTCCACAGTGGCCTCCTTCCTCCCACACACAGCTCTGAATTGTGGTCCCAGATGGAGAATCAGCCCTGAGTAGTTCTAACAGCCAGGCGCTGTGCTGCTCCCGGGAGGGCTGAGAAAGCTGCTTGACATGGGCTTAATATTAGAAACTCGCTTGCAATGATTTCTCTGGCTTGATCCGCCTTCTGAAACTCCCCTCTCTCTCCAGAGGGGTTTCAGGTTTCCTCGTGCCACAAATTAATCCTGTCCCCAGTTCACATCCAGAATCAATGTCTGTGGCTAGCTGGGGCTTGGGAGCCTGTTGATGAGCAAACGAAAGCTTGGAAGGGATCGGGAAATCTGTAAGAGCCGGGCTCGTCATAAAAGGAGGGGAAACACTGCCTGGATGACTGGGTTTCTGTATGGGAGCCAGACCTCGTCAGTTACACCTGTGGGGTGGGCTCATTTCAGTGTGGCGGGGAAGCGGCTGTTTCTCCGGCACAGGGGAAGATCCTGTCTCTGGCTTGTTCCATTGTCCCTTGGGCATAGCCGCGCTTTGGTTTGCTAGGTGGACCGCTTCATGTTTGAAGGCGCTGAGATCCCACTGGTCCCATCCTGCGCCGTCTTCATCACCATGAACCCCGGCTATGCAGGGCGCACTGAATTACCAGACAACCTGAAGGTCAGTAAGCCCATCGCTGTGCCAGCACCGAGAGGAAGGGCAGTTCTGTGACCTGCTGCTCTGGGATGTGGGGGGGACTTGGCTCCAGACAATGGCTGCTGATCCGTACCGTTCACAGGCAGCTTAGCGTGGGCGGACCTGGGAACAGGGCAGCAGCCCAGCATGGGAGACTCGGTTTCAGGAGCTGACTTCTTGGCTGTGTCTGGAGAGGACTGAAAAGAAAGCCACGGCTAGTGACTGCAGAGTCTGGTAGCAACTGTGCCTTTTGTCCTGGCACACAGATTGCCCAGAGGTGTTGGAGCCTCCTTGCCACCGCCGGGGAAATGGCACCATCTGAGCACGAGTGTTCACCTGACCTCCCGATGGCCCTGCCAGCATGTCTCACAGGCCACGTGCATTGCACAGGCAGGCCGCACAGCTCCCTCTCGCCGTGCCAGGCCCCTTTGGCAAGCATGAAAGCTGAGACACCCGCTGTGGCAGGTCTCTGCCTGTGAGGGAAGCGGCTAGACACCCAGCACGCATGGATGCAATAAAAGAGATAAAGTGTAGTTAGGAACATCCAGCTCTCCATCTCCAGGAGTTTTGGGGGGCTCAGCTGGAGACCCCCTCAGCGTGCACAGTGCCCGTCCTCTGACACTCAGACAGCCGAACTGGTGTGTCAATTCGGGCTCCCCAAAACGCAGGCACCTAAAATCACTAGCGCTGTTAGAAAACATAAGCCTCTAACTTCCCAAACTTCAGACTGAGTGTGAAGCAGGCAAACAGGTTTTCCTGTGGCTTGCGCATGAGGCGAGGCGACCTGGCCTGTCTAAGTGAGCTTGTGGCACAGATTGTTAGAACTGACTCGTTTTCAGCGGCACCTCCATAGTGCCATCTGTATGCTGGACCTTTCCAGGGCAGACCCACGTTGGTATTTACCCTATTAATAGTGAAACTGTGAATTGCTCCTCCCTGCAATCGGGTGCCCCAGCAGAGGTGCACTTGGAGAGAGGGCAGAAGGTGCTGCCCTCCTGCCAGGTCTTAGCTGGGGCGGGGAAGCCATCCGTTGGAAATCCATACGAGCCCCCCGTGGAGGTTGCTGTGGAGATGAAGTGAATCGGTCTGGTGTCTGGATGTCTAGGGCATGCCCTGTCTGCCAGCACTGCATCCTGTATGAAGAGCTCTGATGTGCAGCAGACCTCCCGGCAAAGGGGAGTTGTGTGGCTTCTTTGTGCCACCCCAGCTTCCCCAGCCTAGACTGAGGTGCGACTGACCCATGGTGTCCTCCTGAGAACCGTGCATCCAGTAGTGTAAGACATGGACAAAGCTGGGCTTCTGCCAGCCAGTGTGGCAGGAGGGTTGGCGGTCTGGGCATGCCCATGTCGCAGGAGTGGCTTGTGCTAGGATTCTGGGATTGTGCTGACCCCAGAAATCACAGCTGTAAGGAACTGCTGCGACTGGGACACATCCCACCGAAAAGCGCCTGCTGCAGCCCCAGAGTCGAATTCACACAGAGGGGAGCAGGGAGCGAAGTGTCTTCATCCCGTCCTAGCGGATGTGTCTGTTCCAGGCTCTCTTCCGCCCTGTGGCTATGATGGTTCCAGACTATTCCATGATTGCGGAGATCTCGCTCTACTCCTTTGGGTTCAACGAAGCCAAGATCCTGGCGAAGAAGATCACCACGACGTTCAAACTGTCATCGGAACAGCTCAGCAGCCAGGTCTGTGGCTTCCTGACGCGCAGCCTTCCACGATGGGAAGGTCTTTGAGTAGTGGAGCGTCCCTCTTAATTCAAGACTCTTAATACTCACCTTTCCCACTTTCCCAACCACCTCATGGGCCTCTCTCCATCCACCGCCTTCTTCTTCATGCTTCCCTTTGTAACCAGGTGTGGCTCCGCCATCCCTCTGGCTGTAGTTTCATTTACTTTACGCTAACGCGCAGAGCTGCCCTTGCATGGCACTTGTGTCCAACAGCAGTTCCTTTCAAACTCCCTCTTCAGCCAGTTATCCCCCATCTCCTCACCCGGGAGAAAGCTCCTGGCAAGTACCATCAGCTGGTAAAGGAGATGATTTTTCTAGCTTACTTCGCAGACCAGTGGGGTGGGAGACTCAGATTGCAGGCTCGCTGTTCCTGAGTGATGCACAACTGTCTAATTTAGTCCTTTCCTCCATGCCTATTGCAGGACCATTATGACTTTGGAATGAGAGCTGTGAAGACTGTGATCTCAGCAGCGGGCAACCTCAAGAGAGAGAACCCTACCATGAATGAAGCAAGTACCCTCTGGTTCAGTGGTGGGCAAACTGTGGCCCAAGAGCCGCATGCAGCCCAGTGGGGCTCTGTGCTTAGCTCATGAGATGCTTTGCTCACCGTTGCCCATGCCAGATGCTGCTGCTTTTCATCCACCTCGGTGTTTTCCTACTGGTGTTACGGAAGTGACACTCGCAAAGCGAGGGCATGTGACGTGAGGGGCGTGTGAGTGCACACAGCATTGTCAGAGCCGAGTGCTTCTCCTCTTCAGCCGGCACTCCCCGCACCATCCAGATATGCTGGTGCAGAGAGCAAAACCGCACTCTCTAGGGAAACCACTGTGGTTAGCACAATCTTACGGCTGCTGACACAAGGAAGGGCCACTTGTGCCACCTGCTCACTAGCCGAGGTGGGCAATCATTGCTCTGGTTTCATCCAGGATGATTCCTCACCCGCTGTTCTATGTTCACCAGCGCAGGCCACCGCAGCGAACGAGAAGTCCCTGGAGATAGAATTCTAAAAGGCTCGCAGCCCGAGCAAACACAAGGAATGAAATAGACGTGAAGGCCCTGGCAGACCAGGCTGAGTTGGATGGATGGGAAAGGCATCGTACAGAAGGAAGCAGGCAGGGTCACAGAGTTCATTTCACTATTGCTCCTTAACTCGTTGCAGGAGCTGATCTGCCTTAGGGCCATCCGGGATGTCAATGTGCCCAAGTTCCTGCAGGATGACCTCAAGTTGTTCAATGGTATTGTCTCCGACTTGTTTCCCAAGATCAAAGAGGAGCCTATAGAATATGGCATCCTGGAAGAAGCAATCCGCAAATGCTGCACCAAAGACAACCTCAAGGATGTGGAGGGTGAGTGAAAAAGCTCTTAAAGGTGAATGGCAAATGGAACAGAATCCTCTGTATGTGGGTGTGTGTGAGCATGCGGGAATAGCTCCATCCGCTTGCCTCCAGTTTCACTCTTGCGACGGGCGATATCAGGCCCCGACTTCACACTTTTTCACAGATGTTTGCAGGACTTGGAAAGTGACCTCGGGGGTGGAGGTTAGTGCCCGGTGGCAGCCCTGCTAAATGAATATGTGAGAGACATTGACTCTCGCTTATGGAGACCTGAACCTTGGATTTCAATAACGAATGTAAAGGAGAAGTCACCTAGTCGACTACCCCGTAAGCAGGAGCTTATCAGGTGGCACTGTTGACTACTCACTCATTTCCCTCCCCCCTGCATTTTTAAAGGGAAGCCAGCAGGAGAGGATGCTGGCTGAATCCCTGGTCCTGGGTCTCAGCACAACCTTCCCCGCCCGCCCACCACCACCACACTGCCACTCTGCATTTTTAAAGGGAAGCCACTGCGAGTGCTGAGACCCAGGACCAGGGATTCTTCCAGCATCTTCTCCCGCCAGCTTCCCTGTAGAAATGCAGAGCGGCAGCGGGAGGTTGTGCTGAGATGCACCAGGAGTGAGCGCTGACACCGCCCTTGCTTATTGACTAATCGGGTGTTCGATGGAAATTCCATCGACTACTCGATGAGCCAGTTAACCGCTACTTACCATCCCTAATTCAGTCTTCAGCCACAGTGTCACATTCCCACGTCTCCAATACTTGTCAGGGGCCTCCAGAGAAAGGGAAGAGGTCAGGGCCCGATACTTTCAATGCAAACTAGAAGGCAGAAGCTTAAAACAAACAGAGCACATCTCTGTGATAGTCTTTCTATAGTGTCAAGGAGCAGGAAAGGGCTCAAAACAGCTGTTATCTGCAGCTTTGCCATTTCCCCTTAACGCTGCAAAGGATAGGGGGTGCTCCCTTTATTCAGTACCATGGGAAATTGCTGAGCAGTGAAATCAATACAGAACGTGGTGCCCTCCAATGTTTCCATCTGTGTTCAGAATAAATTTTGTTTTGTGCACCAAGGCCTGTGCACATGTGCACCACCAGTAGAAACACATGCTGCCGGCTGTAGGGGCTCTGCTAATCAGCTGGGCAGTATGTGAATCTCTCCTGGGAGGCCGCCCAAGCACTCTGCTTACAAGGAAGACAGGTGCCATCTCTAGCTGTTACTGGATGAGTCACTGCAAGGGAGCTATTGAAATATGATACTGATATTAAGGTGCTGGGTGATTGATGGGAGCTGGATTACTCTACTCAGCAATACTCAGACTCTTTAATATGTCTTTGCAGCACGTGACCGTAAACCTGGCATGATGTAATTATTAACCATGCTGAGCTACTAACCAGTCAGCGTGCTTTTCCTAGATTATTAACCTGTTGTAGAAAAAGTAACATTGGGTCAGTCATTTTGCACTGAGACATGCCAGCAAAAGAAACAATGAATCCGCACTGCTGTGGTTCTTTTGGGTAATGCTGGTGGCTAATTTGGCTCCTGAACTCTTGATATCACTGCTCTAATGGTTGTAGCCAGTGACTGGCCCGAAGAACAAGTTATCACCATGTATGGGACCTCAATCCAACTGCGAAGGCTGATCTCACTGTTGTCGGCCGGACACTCTGTGCTTAAAGTTCAGCACGTGCATGGATGCTTTGCTGGGTCGGAGCCAGGTCCTTACAGGCCAATAAAACCGCAGAGACTTATGCGATGTGGGCAACAAGTCTTTGGCTGTGCTGGTTGGAGCAGGCACTCCTCCTATTTGCTGGCAAGTGAAACAGATTACAAGCCCCACACTCCGAATCTTGTTCCTTTGCAGGTTTTGTGACGAAGTGCATCCAGCTGTACGAAACCACAGTGGTGCGCCACGGCCTCATGCTGGTGGGGCCCGCAGGCTCGGGGAAAACCAAGGTAAAGCTGAGCGAGACGTGCAGCGAGCTGGTGGAGAGGAGTAGCTAGATGGGGGTGGGAGGGAGAATCTGGAAGAGGATTACATCTTGCACAAGACACTAATGCTGGAGCATTTCTAGTCTCTGCACTGGAGCTATGGCAGTGAGAGGGATTTGTTCTGGCTTGAAATAGGGATGAAAATGTGGATTTGTAGCTAAGGATGTTAAATGTAGATTAATCAGCTAATCGATTGCTTAATGCAATTTGCATCAATTATTCAATTAGTCGATAAGGGAGCCTCGGCCTTTGAAATGTACCAAGAGTCCTTCTGTCTCTTGCTACATTTCAAAGGTGGAAGCGCCGCGGGGAGCACAGGGCCAGTGGGGGACTCAAGCCGTCCCCCGCTGGCCCTGTGATCTCTACGTTTGAAATGTACGAGAGCGGGGCTCAAGCAGTCCCCCGCTGGCCTGGAGGGCTCTTGTACATTTCAAAAACAGGGAGCGCGGGGCCAGTGGGGCGCTGCTTGAGTCCCCTGCTCTCCCACTGCTCTGCGGTGCTTCTGCTTTTGAAATGTAGCAAGAGCTCTGCACCCCACTGCACCCCTGCCCCTGCCACAGAGATGGTGCGGGGGGGAAACTGGCTTTTAAGCCGGCTCCTCCCAGCACTGGATCTGCTCCCCCCTTGCTGCCTCTCTCTGAAGGAGGCAACAAGGGGGGGAAGCGACTAGTCGAGTCACTAGTCGACTATCCGATACGCATAAGCTTATTGGATAGTCGACTAGTCGCTTCCATGCCTATTTGTGTCAGTGATGAAGTGTTTTAACAGCCGGCTCGTTTGGGCTTTGCAGTCGGACTCAGAGGCTTTCTAGCAATGTCCCAAACTTCAGAGTGCTGGGCAAACGTCAGGATGGCTTTGAGGCAGCCCATCTTCAATTATTGTCATGTAGGGACTCCAGCTATTTCACCAGCCTCTAGTATTGGTGATTTACATTCCTACTCTTCTTTTTGATGATCAGCCTTTTCTTACAGATCCATTTCCCAGGCTGCTCCCAGACACTTGCACAAAGTCCTTTATTACACCTCCTCCTTCCTCGCTGTCGTCTGAATCACGTCACTGTGAGTTTACAACTGCCTCCGACCACTGCCATACATGTCATAATGTCTGTTCCCTTCCCTCCTGTCTCTGCAGTGCTACAAAGTGCTGGCAGCTGCCATGACCTCTCTGAAAGGTCAGCCTTCCGTCAGCGGGGGGAATTATGAAGCAGTCAAGTACTTCATACTGAATCCGAAATCCATCACCATGGGCCAGCTATATGGAGAGTTTGACTTGCTAACACATGAATGGTAAAGGCTAAAGCCCATTCTCCTCCTCTGATCTAGGGCTTCTTGTGGTCCCTCTAGGTCTATGGATTCTCTGGGATACAGCACCATAAAGAGTTTTCCTTGCCTTAGAGCAGGGGTGGGGAACCTCAGGCCTGGTGGCTGGATGTGGCCCCCAGTTAGCCTGGATCCAGCCCCTGAAGCTCAGTCCTCCCTCCCCCAGCATTGGGGAGCCTGCCCTGATGCTTCAGCCCCCCATGGGCCTGGAGCACACAGAATCTACTAGCTTGGGCCCCTCTAGGCTCTGCTGTGGGAGGGGGATGTGGGGAGCGTCTTTCTCCTCAGTTGGAGGCCACATAGGTGAGGGCTTTGGGGTTGTTGGGGGGGGTTTTGTTTGCTTCTCACTTGTGTGAGGCCCCCAACTGCTTTTTATGTGAGTCAGGGGCCCCCACCCTAAAAAAGTTTCCCCACCCGCCTTCGAGGCAAGAGTGAAGAATGTCTTTTGTGTCTGGCGTGTGCTGATGGCCTTCCATAACGAAGGGACGATAGTCGAAGAAGAGTTAGGCTCCTGATTTCTCATGGGAGTTGGGAAGCAGTCTCTGTGCCTCTGCCTTGACTATCTCCCCCATATGTATTATTTCAGTGGTTCTTGGTCCTCATTCTGCTGGCACCTTCATGAGAGAGGCTCTCTGATGGGCTATGTCTTCTCTCAACAGCCCATTCCCCCCGGTTGGGTTTCTAAATGTTCCTCTGCAAGGCTAGCTAAGCAGCGCTTGGTGGCTTGCTGGAGATCCACGGGCCATTCTGTAAGATCCACTTGCATTATTGTAACGCTTCCTGTCACGCTGGCCAGAGGCTTAGGAACAAAGTTAAGGAACACAGGTTCCAGAAAACTATGAAAACCAATAAACAAAACTCTGAGAAAAGCTGAAGCAAATGCATTTCTCCTACTGCTCCCTGGAGCTCACTAGCTCTGGGCTCCAGTGGCTCTTTATTGAAGGATATTTTGAAAGCATATTCCTGTTAAGTGTGACAGCTTATTTACGATCTGGTTCCTGCCGAGGGGCAGCACGTAGACACATCAGCGTGACAAAAAATACGGTCTCCATATAAAACACAGGTAGGGACATAAATCCATCTGTTTTAATCAGCCGGGCTTCAGACTAGTCTGTTTTCTTTTGATCTCGGTAGCAATGGCCATGAACATCTGTGGTGCTATAGAAATAGCAATAATTATTGAATAATGGGAGAGCAGTGGCGGGTCGGAGCAGCAATTGTACTGTGGACATTCACATACAGATTAAATCCCAGACATCAACATCCAGCACGCTCTTCGCCACTGTCCCTCTCACCACCACCAGCACCACTGGCAGCGTATGGATGCATTATTAGTGTCCGGGTCGTGTTACGTACATAGGAGCAACAGGCATGGGGGATTTCCCTCACAAAGCAGGGATATTCGGCCACGTAAGGTCTAACGTGGTTATCCTAAGAAACTGCGGATTCTAGGGATTTATGAGGGGAAGGAGAAAGAGAGAGGATTCATCTGTTCACTTGAATACATTTGTGAAGCACTCACTCAGATGTACAGAACAGGTTGAACCTCTTTTGTCTGGCACTCTCTGGTCCAGAAACATCAGTTCTCTGGCATGATTTTAGTGAGCTGGATCTCCACTTACCATGGGTGTGGGCAAGTTTCCTGTGGACCCATGAAGTTTGTTTACAGCCGCCAGGCCCGGCTCTCAGTGTTCTGGGATGTTATTTACTTCTAATTTACCCCGAAATGTCCTCTCAGATCCCAGCCAGCTGTGGCAGTGTTGGTGATGCTGCTAGTCAATATCGATCTCCCGTGGTTCAGCAAATTCTCTGACTTGGCTGGTCAGGTCCCAAGGGTGCTGGACTAGAGAGGTTCGGCCTACAGTGGACTCCTGGCTCCAGGGTTGTTGCTGGAAAGGTTGCCACTAACTTCAGTGAGGTCTGAATTTCTCTAGGAGATAGATATAGAGCAGGCAACTGTTACAGCTGCTCTTGCCTCTTTCCTCCCGTGTTACAGGACGGATGGGATTCTTTCCTCGCTCATCCGGGTGGGCGCTATCGCCAGTGACACCAATAAGAAGTGGTATGTGTTTGACGGGCCCGTCGACGCCGTCTGGATCGAGAATATGAACACTGTGCTGGATGATAACAAGAAGCTGTGTCTCAGCTCTGGAGAAATCATTAAGCTCACTGAGGTGACTAAGCTCTCCTCTCTTGCCTCTGCTGCTCTCTCCTCTCTGGCTGGTCTCGCCTCTGTTCTCTCTCTCGAACGCGCAGCAGAATTGCTTTGGGGTTTCCAGTGAGTGTTGCAGGCAGGCTGGATTCCTGCCGAGATTGTCACCTGTGTAGCAGTGACAGCTAGGAGCGCTTGTTGTGGAGCAGCACCCCGGCGTGCTAGGCACAGGACAGCCCGAGAACAGCAGGACAGCCCTTCTCTAAAGAGCTGACAGGCCACAGTTGGGCCTTTCTGTTTGACTGAAGTCTGGATGCCCTGCCCGTGCAAGCAGGCACAGAAGGTACGTCTAGACTACAGCCAGTTCTGTCGACAAAGCAAGCCGCTTTTTCAACAGAGAGTCTCGATGCCCCCTTTTGAAAAAGCACAGTGTGGATCAATAGTGCCTTTTTTCAACATAACTGTCAAAAAAAGGCATTATTCCTCGTAGAATGAGGTTTACCGCCGTCGACAAAACTGCCGAGTTCTGTCGACTTACTGTCAACAAAACGCGGCGGTACTATAGATGCAGGCATAGTTTTGTCAACAAAACCCTGTAGTCTAGTATAGATGCAGGCATAGTTTTGTCGACAAAACCCTGTAGTCTAGACACACCGTGAGTGTCAAGGAGAGCTAGACGGGCCAAATGCTACTGATGTTCAAGGGGAACTCGAACGCCCTTTGCTTCCGTGACAGTCCTAGCTTCAGTGTGAGTCCACGGAGATGGAAATCCCAGGGAGCCCCCACACCCGCTTTTTTGGCTTCCCTCCCCACACCAGTGGCAGAGAATCAGTGCTGACTCCTTTGAGCCGACTAGGTGCCCTTATCACCGAGCCATGCTGAGCGATGCTAAGGAGGAGCTGTGCTGACAGATCCCTGTTCCCCCCCTCCCCCTCCCCCGGTTTTCAGGTGATGACCATGATGTTTGAAGTCCAGGACCTGGCTGTTGCCTCCCCCGCCACAGTCTCCCGGTGTGGCATGGTTTACCTGGAGCCCAGCATCTTGGGGCTCAGGCCCTTTGCTGAGTGCTGGCTGAGGAAAATTCCAGACATCATCAAGCCTTTTGCAGAGCAGCTTGAATCCCTTTTCAGCAGATTCCTAGAGGTAAGCTCCTGTCGTGTCCCAGCTCTCTTGGGTGCCCGTGGCTTAGATCCAGTTGGGTTAGCTTTAGAGGAGTCGTTCCTTCTAAGGCTCTAAGATTTTAGCCTCCTCTGAGATTAGGATTCACTTCATGCTACGGACGCCCAGAGCGGATCTGCTGGTTTTAATAACTTGGGAACTCACTGATCCAGATACATGTGTCTCCTTCATACTCACCTGAAGACCCGTGGGGATTTTAGAATCAGCCAAATTCATTCCGCCAGTAACACCGTTCCCTCCTGCAGAGTGAGGGACATGGCTCTCAGTTGTAAAACTGAGCCTCGCTATTGCCATCATTTTGATGGCAGACAACAGAGTTCCTTTCGAGACAGTCTTAAGGCAATCTATCAGCAGTGACAGCAACACAGAGCGGCTGCTGTACGGAGCCAAGGAGCAGGACTGTCTTATCATCTGGTCAGGATCAAACAGAAGAGATTTCCTCGGACGCGCTCCTGGGCCTCTGTTCGCTGGCGGATGCCAACCGGGTTTGGGGCACAGCTTGAAATGGCAGCGTTGTCCGCCGTGCCCTCGCTGCTCCACGTGCTGTGCCGAAAGGGGAAAGGGAAGCCCTGGGAGGTAAATAAACTCTTGAAAGGACGGCGAGAGAGGAGCTGATCTGTGTGTGCCTCGTCCTTGCAGGAGTCCATCAGCTTTGTCCGCAGATCAGTGAAAGAGATAATTGCCTCAACAGACAGCAACCTGGCAATGAGCCTTCTCAAGCTGCTGGAGTGCTTCTATGAGCCTTTCATCCCCATTGAGGTAGGGATGTTTGTACCGACTCTTTGTTGCTCTCCCTGCACATAGCGCTAGCGGGTTAAGCTGCCACGTGTAGAAGGAACACGAGAGCTCCCAACTGGGGCACGGTACACGATAAACCAGGGCTACTCAACATGTGGCCCGTGGGCCGCACGTGGCCCGTGGCCTGTTTGTTTGCAGACCACGGTGCGGGTTGGGTTTTCGCGGGGCTCAACACACAGCCTGCAGGTGGGATCCTTTGCACACGGCATCCACTGGGAACACGCTCCACAATGGCGAGGCGTCTCCCAGGAGGGGCAAGCACTGAAAGATGCAAGCAGACGGGCTGGCTGGAACAGACACGAACAGGGTGTCAGCATTTCTAGCCCCCAGGGAGAAGGTGCCGGGAGCACTGTGTGAAAGAAGCTATTTGCATATATTTGCATATATATTTACATATATATATGCAACCACACTTGGCGGCCCTCAGCATGTTCTGTGAATTTCATTGGGGCCCCGGGGCTTCCGAAGTTGAGTAGCCCTGTGATAGATGGTACAGGGACCAAGTCATTCTGGGCATAGGGCTGGGAGCAGTTCGAGCACTTACTCCGACGCTCCTCTACGTACAGCACTGCCCTGACTCATGCTGAATGCAGGGCTAGACTGAAGATGAGTATACCGGGGAAGGCTGAGTCTGGCTCTGTACACTAAAGAGGATTATACTGTAGTATAAAATAAGAGGATAGCCTGCCAAACACAACAGTAGCGCCACGTGGTAGTGCTGGGTGAAATAGGTTGCACATGTATATTGCACAGTATACCTGGGATGCAAATCGCTTTGTGTGGTATTGAAGGAGACAGGGAAATTCTCACTTTAAAATTCACAGGCCAAATTCTGCTTTGAGTTACAGTGAGAAACCCCCAGAGTTACAGCCGCGTAACGGAGAGCAGAATTTGGCTCACCGTCTGTAACGAATAGAGCCACCTGAGAATCCTTCCAAAAAGCAATACATTAGCTAAATGGAGGAGTCAAGAAGTACTTAACCCCCTTTCCAATTGAGCAGCGTGGGAGGATGAAATTTGTGCTGCTTATCGGCCGTTCAGGGCATTCGGAAGCTTCCCCAGGAGAAGATTGCTCGACTCGGAGAACTGATAGAGCCCTGGTTCATGTTCGCTTTGATCTGGAGCGTGGGTGCAACTGGAGATGCCCAAAGCCGCATGGCCTTCAGCTTGTGGTTGAGAGAGAAGATGGCAAAGGAGCAGGTGAGTGGCTGGAATGGTGATTTCCACTCATGATGGTAGCACCTAGGAACAGCTCCCTGAGTTTCTAGAAGGCTTGTGTGAGGGTCCCTCCTGAGGTATTGTCCACAGCTGGAAAACGTCCCGCTTCATCAGAACATCTGCATCGAAACCTCTAGGAAAGAGGCTAGAGACAGATGAGCCATAGGGGCTGGACAGAATTTCACTGCTGAAAACCGATGTTCTCCTCATTGGCCTGGTTCCTGGGGGTCAGTTCTGCTCTGCTTTTTTCCCCCCAGATCCAGCTGCTTTTCCCAGCGGAGGGGCTGGTTTACGATTATAAGCTGGATGATGCTGGACTCAGCAATCCCGAGGATGATGTTGATGAAGATGTTGTCAAGGAGGTAGAGATATTACCCACCTCTGAATAGTGCATAAAAATCCGATTGATTCATCAAAGTGAAGAGTGGAAGGGAGGGAGGGGCCAGATGCTAAGGCTAGGGTACCGCACACACAGTCCCTCCGCTCATCAGGGTGAGTCAGAGCTCTGCTAGACTGGGCGGAGCTGTCTAAGGAGAAATTGAACGTTGTACTTAAAACAAGGTTTCTTACCTGTGTGTTAGTGACCTAGATCTTCCAAATGCAGCCTCTGCCACTGCTCAGGGTTTCCCCAGGCTGGGAAATGCCCAGTGTCTGGTCATTTTCACTGCTGTTACTCAGAAGAAAGGGGAAGAGGGAGTGAGAAGCACAAATGAGAAGAGTAATGTCAATTTCGTGGTGCTGGTGCTTGGGAAAGCCACGAGCAACCACAATACGAATCCTCAGTGGGATGCAGCTTCAGACAGGCCGGTATTATATTAACTGAAGCGCTGTGGGTAAGACATAGGAGGTAACTGTCCTGCTCTACACAATACTGCCGAGGCCCCAGCTGGAGCTCTGGGTCCAGATCTGGGCCCCACAGCTCAGGAGAGATGTGGATCAGTTGGAGAGAGTCCAGAGGAAAACAACAAATACGATCAACGGTTGAGCAAACCTGATCTAAAGTGGGCATGTTTAGCCTGGATAAAAGAAGACTGAGATCAATTTTTTTCCGTGTTCACTGAAGGTAGGAGGTGTCATGGGCTTAACCTGCAGCAAGGGCGAGTTCGGTTAGATACTTGGAGTAGCTAAGCTCTGGAATAGGCTCAGAGGGAGGCCGTGCAGTCTCCAGGATGGGAAACATTTAAAAACAAGTTGGCCAGACACCTGTCTGGGATGGTCTAGGGTTACTTGCTCCTGCCTCGCTCAGGGGGCTGGCCCCGGGGTGCTGGAACAATTTCTATCGTGGGGATCTGCAAGCCATTGAACCGCACTTGCCTTGTCTATAATAGAAACAACTTCAAACGGGGTGTGCAGCAGCACCCTCAGCACCCCTAGCCCTAGTCCCGTGTGGGAACTGGACCTGATGGCTTCAGGGGGCCCCTCCCAGCCCTATGTTTCTCTGCCTCTCTGAAAAGACCTCAGCAGTGGGATCTGTAAGAGGATGCTGACCCTTACTTCCGTAAGCTTGGGCCTGGCCTTGAGCCAGTAGGTTTTGGCCCCTGACTTTTTTCCAGGGAGTCGGTAACTCATTTCATACACGCGTTCAGCCTCCCTGCCCCAACCATTTCAGGTGCCTCCAGGGACCAAAACTGCAACACAGAGGAAGGTTTCCAACTAGGCTACAGGGTTTTGCTCAAAAACCCGGGGAGCGTCCACACCTCGAGCGTTTTTGCGCAAGTCAATTTACAGTCAATCAAAAGAAGAAGGGTTTTTGCGGTGTAGGTATTCCTCTTTCTACAAGGAATAGCTCCTTTTTGCACAAGAGTTCTTTCGCAAAAAGGTGTGTGTGGGTGGGCAACGGGGGGGTTTTGCGCAAAAAGAGCCAATCGAAAAAAGCACAGGTGCTCTGGTGGCTATTCTGTGAATGGCCATCAGAGCTTTCTTTCGAGAGAGCATCCATGCAGTCTGGACACTCTCTTGTGCAAAACCTTTTGCAGTGTGGACGCGCTCTTGCGCAAGAAGTTTTTGTGGAAGATCTCTCCTGCAAAAAGCTTCTTGTGCAAGAAGCCTGCAATATAGACGTAGCCCTAAACAGCCTTCCTGCTTTTCAGTCAGCTGTTTCCTCTTCTGGTTCATTTAGATCTCCGTATAATGGTGCTCTCTGTTCTAGCAACTATCTTAAATGTTCTGTCAACATGTGAACCAAGTTTGAAAGAAATTCAAGCGAGCGCTGCTTTGGGGCAACCGCCCCTAGTCCACTGTAAAAGTGTCAGCTGCGTTGGAGGACAATCATGGAGAGAGAGATGTTGTAGAGAGCAGAGGAAGGAACTGGGAGTCCATTACACCAAGAGTTTAGAAGCGGGAAATCCCAGTGCAACTGCTGATTTGTAGCCTCCCCATTTCAGAGGGAGTTGTTTTGTCCGGTAACATCTCTGTCCTTCAGGTGGCCTGGGTAAATTGGATGGATTCCACGGCAAAGTTCACCATGGTCCCTGACACCAGCTACTGCGACATCATAATCCCCACAATGAATACTGTGCAGATGGCCCACATGCTGGAAATGCTGCTCACCAATCGAAAACCAGTATGTATCCAGCCCTTGGCTCTGCTTTTGGATTTAACCTGGATCTCCTTGGCTGTGGTCTCATTTTCCGTCTCTTCCTAGGTGCTAGGTGCCTTGACAATATCTAATAGAGTTAGATTTTCCCCGCTTCTTGGGCCTGGGCATGGTACCTGGCTTACAAGTGTCATTGTTTCTTTCCCTCCGCAACTCGCCTAGTGCCAATAGAGAAAGGCCAACTTTCCATAGGTAGACCAAGGCAGTGCAGGTGCTGGGCTCTCCCTCACGTGCTCCAAATAGTGACCAATCACCACCACCACCACCAATCAAGATGTCCCTGCTCTCTCGGGTTGCATCCCCTCCTTCTCCAGTGTGGTTCTTTCCATTGTAAGAGCACTCCCTTGACCTGCTCTGCCTCCCTAACTAAGACAATAAAATGATAGTCTTTGACTGGCGTGGCAGGCCCCGTAGGGTGGGCGTTGCCTCGTCCCGCCTGAGCCGGTGAACGTAAACCCGTCGGCAAGTGGCCGTTCCCGCTGCCTGGGTTTCTGCTGCAAGGCTGGCTGCTTTTCCCTTTCCTCAACGCAGGTTCTCTGTGTGGGTCCGACTGGCACGGGGAAGACTCTCACCATTTCAGACAAGCTTTTGAAGAACTTGCCTCTGGAATACATCACCCACTTTCTGATGTTTTCCGCTCGCACCTCCGCCAACCAAACCCAGGACCTCATTGACAGCAAACTGGACAAAAGGCAAAGCGCTCGTGCTAGCTGTCGTTGTTATTACCTCTGCCCTGGGCTTTCATCCCCAGCATCTAAAGGACAGTGGCCAAACAGGACTCTGGCTGGGGGAATAAAGGGCTTTCCGATCCTAACTCTGGGTCAGGGAGGACTAGGAACATTGGAGGCGATGGCCAATAAAAGGCAGTAAGGGGTTTGCCCCATTCCTAGTTATCCTTTCAGTGCCACACAATTTGCCCTAATGAGCAGCAATCATCCCCAGAATCCGGGTACTGGATCTTTAAAGAGATTGGTGAGGAGAGGAAACTTGAGCTGTTGCCAAGAGTCATCCAGCACGGCTAGCAGCATTCGCTCTTAGCCCCAGGAAGGCTTGCTGTGGCACGGCTGCCTTTCCTCACCATCCACTGTCTGCTTTGATGCATCTAGTGGCCAGCCCAGATAAGATCCTAGAGGATTTACCCAGCGCTGCTCAGGTCTTTAACTCTAGTTTTATCCTTCATTTAAATCATTGTTCTGGGGTGGGGCTGGAGAGGAGGGTTCAGTCTGCAGGCTGCCCCATGTGGAGAGGGCAACCCCAGCCCTTTTTTACGATGGCAGGTTGGAACCAGATGAGACGTGCCTGTCCATGGGTGCTGCAGCTCCAGGGGGAGAGGTGCATGTCCCTCCGGCTGGGGGACAGACAGACACACAGACAAGCAGACACACAAGGAGACAAACACTCTGAGATATATAATTGATAGCTGTCCTTTTCTCCACCCTGTCCTCCCCTGGCCCAGTGGGATTAAAGCTGTCCCGGTCCCCATCTCTGGCCCCTTGCTGCCCCCCTGTGGTCAGTCTACAGTATAACTCCCTCCTGCCAGACCCCTCCCTTTCCATTTCATGAGAAACAATTGAATTCTAGGCACATCCCATTGTCCTGGCACAGCCCAACCCTTCTCACCTGAGCACTGCGTGGTGCCTTTTCAGGAGATGAGGGGTAGGATGCAGATCTAGAGAGAGGGGATGAATCCACAGGCAGCTTATGCAGAGGGCCCTTTGGCCTGGGCTGTGTCAGGAGTGCTGTGGTGACGGAAGTGCTGAATTGTCCTCCCTTCAGCCATCTCCGTTCTCACCTGCGTTCTCCATCCCTGCAGGAGGAAGGGGGTGTTTGGGCCGCCTCTTGGCAAGTATTTCATATTTTTCATTGATGACCTAAACATGCCGGCATTGGAGACCTATGGCGCTCAGCCTCCCATCGAGCTGCTTCGGCAGTGGATGGACCACCACGGCTGGTACGACAGGAAACAGATCGGTAGGCTCCAGGTTCTGTGACTCGCACGACTTACATCCCCTATGGTTGGCATGCTGGCTAGCGAGGCTGACGCAGAGGTAGCCAGTCTCCAGCGTGTGTCCATAGCTAGCGAGTGACACGTCGGACTCATAGAAAGCATTTCTGGTTTAGTCTTGGCATGCGGCTACGTCATTACTCTCCTCTGGACTGTCTCCCAGGGACCTTCAAGAAACTGGTGGATATTAACTTTGTCTGCGCCATGGGCCCCCCAGGCGGAGGAAGGAACGCCATCACGTCCCGCCTCACCCGCCATTTCAACTATCTTTCCTTCACGGAGATGGAGGACAGCAGCAAGAAGAAAATCTTCTCTACCATTCTCGGCAGCTGGATGGGTGAGTTAGGCGGCCACGAGGCTTTTCCTCTTCACGAGTCTCTGCCCACTTGAATTCCCACGTGGTTGAGAACGAAGCTAATGATGGGACCAAGAAATGCTAGAATCTGGAAAGTGCTGCTGAGGGAGCAGTGAGGGAGCATTTCGGTCTTAGGGCCAAATTCTCTGCTGGGGTAATTGACACGTTTTTATCATATTGACGGAGATGTGTCAATGTACCACCACAGAGAATCTGGCCTTTAAACGTGTACATAAACCCTGGCATAGCCTAGTCCTCTCAAAGAGGGTTTTCTGAGTGTGGATCTCCTCCCCTATCTTTGCCAATCTTTGTTTTTCTTCCTTGGTTTTCTAGCTGGCCTCCTTGGCGAAAGAAGTTACAGAGATCCAGTCCGTAAGTGAGAGAGACCGAACACAAGGCCTGCTTTGTACTCACGGGGTGCTGAGAGGGATTCTAAAGCTATGGGTTATCTGTATCCTTCAGCAGAGTCAGACATTTGCCCACACGATGGGGCAAGAGGTGCGCTATGATCTCTGCAGTTGGCTTCAGATTTTGTAGAAGCAGCAGGGGTTTCATTTATTCTCCAGCAGCTGTAGCCGGTGAACAGCTGGGGAGTGAGTATTTGAGTCTGTAGAAGTGCTGTAGCAACCCAGGGAATGATTTTCAGAATACCACCAGTCACTTGGAACTGATTTCATTTTGGGCCTTCTCATCATTGGTCAGTTTCCAGCTGCCTTTTATTCCCATCCAGGAGCCTGAGCTGGGTGGTTTGGGACCAAGGTGTGAACCTGGAGTCACTTCCACAGAGCTGGGTGTCTGAGTGTAGGCACTGGAAAGGGTTCTGGACATCCGATTGTAACCATAGACCGGAGCAGAGATGTCTGGGCACCCGGGAGGGGGTTCTGAGCAATGACAGGATATGGTGGCACCTAGGTATGAACTCAGGGCTGAAGCAAGGAGTGTGGGTGTGAAGCCAAGGCACAAGCAGTGAATTCGGCCATGTGGGTGGGAACTCAGCATCTGAAGAAGTGGGTGTGATTGTACCCTTTTCTTTAATCTGGCCCTGTGCCTAAGGTCATTTGGGACATGGGCAGCCTCTGCAGAGGCCTGGGAGCTTGTAGGGCAGCTGCTGCCCGGCAGTTCAGGGTCGGTTCACGGCTGAGCTCCTGTGGGTGGGCTGGCTGCACGGGCTGGCTGTGGGTGGTGGGGTCTCCCCATGAGCACTGGCGAGCGCTGGGCCCATAGGCTGCACGTTCAGCAAGCTGAGGAGACGGCCGGGCCCTCAGGCAAGTGGAGGCCAATAGTGAGGCGTGTCCCTGAACAATAGCAGTGGCGCCCCCCGCGTCACGCCAGTCCGCCTGCCTGTTGTGCTCGAATTCTGTCCGTCCTTCACCTCCCCATGAGGCCGCTGCCTTCTGTTCCTGCAGCGGGAGCCCCCCCCGCCGAGCCCCTGAACGAGCCCCTTGTCGATGCCACCATTCGTGTGTATTCCACCATCACCTCCCAACTGCTGCCTACTCCAGCAAAGTCGCACTACACCCGCGTCACGCCAGTCCGCCTGCCTGTTGTGCTCGAATTCTGTCCGTCCTTCACCTCCCCATGAGGCCGCTGCCTTCTGTTCCTGCAGCGGGAGCCCCCCCCGCCGAGCCCCTGAACGAGCCCCTTGTCGATGCCACCATTCGTGTGTATTCCACCATCACCTCCCAACTGCTGCCTACTCCAGCAAAGTCGCACTACACCTTTAACCTGAGGGATCTCTCCAAAGTGTTCCAGGGCATGCTCATGGCCGAAGCCTGCAAAATTGAGGTCAGCCCCCCCCTTTTGTCACCCGCACTGTACAGTCGGGGACATCCGGAGCTCACCGCGCAGAGGCCAAGGCTCAAAATGGACATAGGAAAGGCAAGGAGGGGTTCATGGCCTGGCTCTACTAGCAGGGCACATTGCACTTCCCAGGGTGCTCAGCATTGTGCAATGTGCTGTGTCTTTTTGCCCAAGGGTATTTATGAAATCACCCCCGGAACTTGGGATGGAGGAGCTCCAGCATCCAGGATGCTATCGCTCACTTCCCCTGGGGGAAAAGGCAATTTACCTAGGGATGTGATGGGTTCTCCATCACTTGGAGTCTTTAAATCAAGTTCGCATGTCCTTTAAACAGCATGATGTAGCGAGATAGGGGCTTACGACCACAACTGGTTTGACGATTTGATGAAGAGCTTGATTGCCGAGTGGGATCGCATGTCCTTTAAACAGCACGATGTAGCGAGATAGGGGCTTACGACCGCAACTAGTTTCACGATCTGATGAAGAGCTTGATTGCCGAGTGGGACACCACTTGGCAGAGGGGTTTTGACCCATTATGTAGGGCAGGGTGGATGGCCATAATGGGTCTTTCCAGGCTTAATCTCAGGCCCTGAGACAATGGAGTAAGAGATGACGGACTAAATTCTATAAATGTGGCTTTGAAACTGACCCGGTGTGGGGCAGAATAGCACAGGTAGTTACTGCAGCGCTAATTAGCTCCTCTGTAGAGCACCTGCATTAGCATGCAGTGCTCCAAAGCAAGGGACTCAGTGGCACCCTCTCAAATTCTTCTTCCCTCCCAACAAAACCGGGGAGTTGGAAAACGGCCAGATGTTCTGGCGTAACCAAGCCATCCTGCAGGAGGGACTTGGCCTAACGGGTGCATCTCCCTGGGATTTTCTGCCAGAACAAACTGCACCTGCTCCGGCTCTGGTACCACGAGAGCTGCCGCGTGTTCCGCGACCGCCTGGTTAACGAGGAGGACCGCAACTGGTTTGACGATCTGATGAAGAGCATGATGGCCGAGTGGGACACCACCTTTGAGGAGGTGATCCCCTACCAACCAGTTCTCTTTGGGGATTTCATGATGCCTGGGGCTGAAGTCAAACTCTACGAGCTAATTGATGACCAGGAGAAGGTAGGCTGCGTCTGACGTCTCCTCCCGTTTTTAGGATTTTCCTTTCCTTTCCGCCCTGCTGAATGCTAAGAAGGCGGACACAATGGATGCAGCTTTCTAGCCAAGTGTCTGGAATATTAATATTGCTGAGCTGCGGTCAAGGGGCAAAACTGTGTTCATGGCAGAATTGAGAATACAGGTTGAACCTCTCTAGTTGGGCGTGTGGCAACACCCGGGCCCAGCATGATGTTAGTGAGCTGGATGTCCACTTATCGTGGGTGTGGCCAAGTTTCCCGCAGTCCCATGAAGTTTGTTTGCAGCCACCAGTCCTGGCTTTGTGTTCTGTGCTGCTATTTAGCTCGAATTTATCCCTAAATGTCTTCTAAGAGCCCAGCCAGCCGTGGCAGTGTTGGGAATGCAGCTCAACAACATTGACCTCCCGTGGTCTGGCACATTCCCTGGTTCAGCACTGCTCAGGTCTGAAGGGTGCCAGACTTGAGAGGCTCAACCTATAGAATCCATAAAATATTGACCCCTAGTCCACTGCACTAACCCCTGTGCAGCACTGCTGAAGATGGCCCAGGATAGTGTTTAGGAAAACATGTGCATGAGGCATTTTGGCTACAGAGGTTAAACACAGCCCAGGGGTGGATTCAGTCCTGGTTGGCTGGTTTATTGCCCGTTTTTAGCAGCTACTTTTTCCATCTTGAATCCAGAGAATGAGACCCAGGTGGCTGCTCGGGGGCCAGCAGGAAATGAGCGGTGTCGTGCTGGTGGCCTCTTCCTGATGTGAACGCCACATCAAATGAACATTATTTCTGCCCACGTGCGGTTCTCAGGGATGGTCTCTGCCAGGAGGGGCAGATCTGTCCCTCGGCTGCTTCTGCTGCACCTACCGCATCACTGTTCTGACCCGTGTCTCTCTACCTGCAGCTCACACGCATTATTGAGGAGTACATGGAGGAGTACAACCAGATCAACACCACCAAGATGAAGCTGGTCCTCTTTATGGATGCCATGCAGCACATCTGCCGGATCAGCAGGATCCTGCGCCAGGCACTGGGGAATGCGCTCCTGCTGGGCGTCGGGGGGAGCGGAAGGGAGTCTCTCACCAGGCTGGCCTCTCACATGTAAGGAAAAAGCCTCCTGCGGAGCTGGCACCACGCAGCTGTGCCCGGCCTGCCTTCCTGAGAAACTCAGTCTCATCATTAAATCCAGCACCGCTGTAGGAGCGCTGCCTCTCACCAAACTCCCTTCTGTCCATCAGAGCAGAACAGCGGCCAAGCAGTGTGTTCTACACACAGTGTGAGAGGCACAGGTTCCGTTCCAGGGTGCTCTCCCAGGCCAGCGGCCGAGCGGTGTGTTCTACACACAGTGTGTGAGGCACAGGTTCTGTTCCAGGGATCTCTCCCTGACCAGCGGCCGAGCGGTGTGTTGTACACACAGTGTGTGAGGCACAGGTTCTGTTCCAGGGATCTCTCCCTGACCAGCGGTGCTCAGGTCTGAAGGGTGCCAGACTTGAGAGGCTCAACCTATAGAATCCATAAAATATTGACCCCTAGTCCACTGCACTAACCCCTGTGCAGCACTGCTGAAGATGGCCCAGGATAGTGTTTAGGAAAACATGTGCATGAGGCATTTTGGCTACAGAGGTTAAACACAGCCCAGGGGTGGATTCAGTCCTGGTTGGCTGGTTTATTGCCCGTTTTTAGCAGCTACTTTTTCCATCTTGAATCCAGAGAATGAGACCCAGGTGGCTGCTCGGGGGCCAGCAGGAAATGAGCGGTGTCGTGCTGGTGGCCTCTTCCTGATGTGAACGCCACATCAAATGAACATTATTTCTGCCCACGTGCGGTTCTCAGGGATGGTCTCTGCCAGGAGGGGCAGATCTGTCCCTCGGCTGCTTCTGCTGCACCTACCGCATCACTGTTCTGACCCGTGTCTCTCTACCTGCAGCTCACACGCATTATTGAGGAGTACATGGAGGAGTACAACCAGATCAACACCACCAAGATGAAGCTGGTCCTCTTTATGGATGCCATGCAGCACATCTGCCGGATCAGCAGGATCCTGCGCCAGGCACTGGGGAATGCGCTCCTGCTGGGCGTCGGGGGGAGCGGAAGGGAGTCTCTCACCAGGCTGGCCTCTCACATGTAAGGAAAAAGCCTCCTGCGGAGCTGGCACCACGCAGCTGTGCCCGGCCTGCCTTCCTGAGAAACTCAGTCTCATCATTAAATCCAGCACCGCTGTAGGAGCGCTGCCTCTCACCAAACTCCCTTCTGTCCATCAGAGCAGAACAGCGGCCAAGCAGTGTGTTCTACACACAGTGTGAGAGGCGCAGGTTCCGTTCCAGGGGGCGCTCCCTGAGCAGCGGCCAAGCGGTGTGTTCTACACACAGTGTGAGAGGCACAGGTTCCGTTCCAGGGGGCGCTCCCTGAGCAGCGGCCAAGCGGTGTGTTCTACACACAGTGTGAGAGGCACAGGTTCCGTTCTAGGGTGCTCTCCCAGGCCAGTGGCCGAGTGGTGTGTTCCACACACGGTGTGAGAGGCACAGGTTCCGTTCCAGGGCTCTCTTCCAAGCCAGTGGCTGAGTGGTGTGTTGTACACACGGTGTGAGAGGCACTGGTTCCGTTCCAGGGTGCTCTCCCAGGCCAGCGGCCGAGCGGTGTGTTCTACACACAGTGTGTGAGGCACAGGTTCTGTTCCAGGGATCTCTCCCTGACCAGCGGCCGAGCGGTGAGTTGTACACACAGTGTGTGAGGCACAGGTTCTGTTCCAGGTATCTCTCCCTGACCAGCGGCTGAGTGGTGTGTTCTACACACAGTGTGTGAGGCACAGGTTCCGTTCCAGGGCGCTCTCCCAGGCCAGTGGCAGCTCTGGACAACAGAGAATCAGAGCAGTAACCCCTTAGTAAGGCGTTCTAGTGGCAGGCTGTGAAAGCAATGCCATGCGGTCCATCAGAGCCAGGGGCTGGAGGCAGTGGCTCTTGGGAGGGAAAGGGTCTTTGGGACTGGTGAATAAAGAGACCAGCTCTACAAAAATACTCATACTCAGAGGAGTGGATTCTAATCCTCTGGCAGGGTAAATACTGATTTGATTCCAGCCCTCCCTTTCCTTTAGCAGTGCCATGCTCCTGCTGGCATGTGCATTAGGACAGCCATGTGCTCCTCATTAGGAGGAGGAAAACACATGCAGTGTGTTCATTTCCCACACTTACGGTTTCAGAACATCCTGCTGGGCTGGAGTCTCTTGTGAAAGAAGCGGAGTCCAGTTTGAGGCATGGCTTTGCAGTGTGAGTCTCTCTCCCCTCTAGGGCTGACTACGAATGTTTCCAGATTGAACTGTCCAAAAACTATGGGATGGCAGAGTGGCGAGAAGATATCAAGAAGATCATGCTGAAGGCTGGCCTGCAGAGACTGCCCATTACCTTTCTGTTCACAGACTCGCAGGTACTGGAGCGGGGTCAGAGTGGAACAGCTGGACAGATGGCCTGGCTCCCGGGCACTTGTTCTTCCAGAAGCTTAAACGATGACCTCACTTTGAGCCATCCCCTTCTTTTCCTCAGCATCCCCCCTGCCTCCTCACCTGTCCTCCTGAGAAATGAAAATTGGCACCATTGCTCCCAGAAAGACCTGGAGCTCAGGGCACACCACAGCTGAGCGTGCAGCTGGGTGGAATTCTGTGACGTCAGCGGGGCCCCTCTTGTAGGGTGATGGCACAGCTGGGCCTGATTTCCAAACCCTCCTGCTCAAAGTTAGGGTTCTGCATCCCCGGTTAGACACTTCCTTGGGAACCGATGTTCAGAGGTGCTGAGCGGCGCGAGGCGATATCTGCGGAGGTGGCTAACTGGGAGTTTAAGGGCCTAACCTTGGGGATCCAAATTTGAATCTATTGGTTCATTTCTTTAAACGATGGTTTAATAATAACGAGGTCATAGTTCAGAATTTCACCCTGGAGCGTCAGCTTTGCCAGATGGTTCCACGTCCTCAGGACGAGGCTGAACGTGTGCACGCAGTGGTGGCACTGCACTGGAAGCCAGACAGCTTTATGTGGGGTCTCGACATGGTGGCTGAGCTTTTGGGGGTGTTTCTATGAATCCAGAGAACCAGACGACAGGTGTTTGTTCCTCCATCTAGATCAAAAGCGAGTCCTTCCTGGAGGATATCAACAACGTGCTGAACTCCGGAGACATCCCCAATCTGTATGCCCCGGACGAGCAGGACCAAATCATGACTACTATGAAGCCCATTGTCCAGGACCTAGGGCAGCAGCCTACCAAGGCCAACCTGATGGCTGCATACACAGGCCTAGTTCGAAGTAATATCCATATGGTCCTGTGCATGAGGTACGGGCCTTCCCAGCCGGGGTGAATTCCTGAGGCGATGCTGGGGATCTGCCTAGATTAAGCACCTAGATTGGCTTCCTGGCCACTGCGCACCGTTAACCCTTGACTCCGCGTCACACGGATGTGTTTGGGGTTCCGCTCCACCGCTCTTTGTCATTGCTGTCGGGCTCCTGAGGAATAAGGTTCTGCGCCCCATGGCAAGGGCGGGGGGCCGGGCCGGGCGATACAAATGCTATAAGAACTTGCTGCAGATGAAAGCCTTAGCATCAGCTTTACTTCTCCGATACCATTTGCATGTTACGTTGACAGTCGAAGGAGGCGGCTTTCCCTGAACACTCCCCTTAAACCTTCCATTGAGACACCTACCCCAAAGCCATGGGCAGTTAGTGAAGGCAGGAGTGAGGGAGGAAAACCTCCAACCCCACCTCTAGCCCCGCCCCTTCTGCTGAGGTCCCGCCCCTTTCTCTTCCCCCCATGGGAAGGCAGGGTGGCATGCCGCAAGTGTGCTCTCCCCTTCCAACCATGGTGAGCATGAGCAAGTGTGGGCTCGCTCCAGCCTCCCCAGCAGGGCACACCGTGCCGTGTGGCCCGACCCCTCCTCTCTAGTCCCAGAGCACCAGCGGAGGGAGAAGGGCATGCCATGCTGCATGGCCTGGCCCTGCCCGGCCTCTCCAGCCCCAGAGGAGGGAGGGGAGCATGCCGTGCGGCCCGGCCTCTCGAGCACTAGGGAGGGCGGGCACTGGGGGCAGTAACACTCCGCCCCCGGAACACTACAGCAGGTGTTCTGGTGGAGTGTGGGCAGGACCAGGCTGGCGGTTTGGGAAGGCAGAGCCTTCCCCTGCCTTACACACCGGACGCCCATGCCCAAAGCCATCCCTGCCAAGAGGTCACTCAGTACCTGTCTCTGAGATACCTGTAGAGACTGTTGAAGCAAAATGCAGGACAATGTAGCACTTTAAAGACTAACAAGATGGTTTATTAGATGATGAGCTTTCGTGGGCCAGACCCACTTCCTCAGATCAAATAGTGGAAGAAAGTAGTCACAACCGTATATACCAAAGGATACAATTAAAAAAAAGAACAAATATGAAAAGGACAAATCACATTGCAGAACAGGAGGGGGATGCGGTGGGGGGGAGGGGGAAGGAAGGTAAGTGTCTGTGAATTGATGATATTAGAGGTAGGGAGAGTGGGATGTTTGTGAGTTAATGGTATTAGAGGTGATAATTGGGGAAACTATCTTGGTAATGGGTGAGATAGTTCAAATGTTTGTTAAGTCCTTGTTGGCAAGTGTCGAATTTTAACATGAATGACAGTTCAGAGGATTCCCTTTCAAGTGCAGATGTAAAAGGTCTTTGTAGCAGAATGCAGGTGGTCAAGTCATTGAGAGAGTGTCCTTTCTGGTTGAAATGGCAAGCAACTGTTTTTTCTTTGTGATCTTGTCTGATATCTGTTTTGTGGGCATTAATCCTTTGGCGAAGTGTCTGAGATGTTTGTCCAATGTACATAGCAGACGGACACTTTCGGCACATGATAGCATAGATTATATTTCTGGATGAGCAGGAATATGTGTTCTTGATCTTATAACTCAGTTGGTTAGGTCCAATAATGGTATCAGCAGAATGAATATGTGGACAAAGCTGGCAACGGGGTTTGTTGTAGAGACTGTGTGTGTGATCTCGCTTCCATTCTCCCTCTCCTCTCCCAGTTCTCCTATAACACACTCCCCTGCTAACTGCACCACCTCCTCTTTATGCTCTCAGCATAGAGTGCAAGTTGAACCTCGCTAGCCTGGTGCTCTCTGGTCCGGCAACATCGCTGGTCCGGCATGACTGGAGTTAGCCGGATGGCCACTTTCCATGGGTGTGGCCAAGTTTCCTGCAGTCCCGTATGGTTTGTTTGCAGCCCCCAGTCCTGGCGCTCGGTGTTCTGTGCTCTACTTCACCCCTCAGAGTTCTCTCAGAGCCCGGCCAGCAGTGGACGTGTGGCTGATGCTGCTAGTTTTAATACTGACCTGTAGTTTGGCAAGTTCTCTGGTTGGGCCGCTCAGGTCCCGCGGGTGCCGGACTAGAGAGCGTCGACCTGTATGCGTTCAGGAGAGTCGGTTTTCACCCCGCTCCGGGAACCTTTCATGATGTGCCCTTCTCCATTCTGTCCCCCTCGACCCAACCTTGCTGCCTAGTCCTATTGGAGAGGTGTTCCGTGCGCGGCTGCGGCAGTTCCCCTCTCTAGTGAACTGCTGCACCATCGACTGGTTCAACGAGTGGCCGGCAGAAGCCCTGGAGTGCGTCGCATCGTCCTTTTTGCAAGAGATCCCGGACCTTGAAGCCACCTCCGAAGTTATAGACGGCATGGTGAGTGACACCCTGTGATAAAGTGGGGGGAGGCTGCCCCCACTGGTCACTAGGCTTGGGCTGTGGGCTGTGCCTGACCCCTGCTGGCCTGCGTCTGTAAGCAGTGCCCATCAGGGGGTCGCCCTGAGGGCACTCATGTCAGGTAGACAGTGGCTCAACCATTCTCACCTGACCAGGGAAGGGGTCTGAACAAAGGGAGGAGGTGGCAGGGAGAGCGGGGAGAAGCATGGAGGAAGCAGGCTAACCAGCGTAGGGGAGTTCAGGGGCCTGTAACCCCTTGCCCCAAGAGAATGAGGGCTATCGGCCTATCCTCTCATGCCTGCATCGGTCCTATGCTGTGCAGTATCTTGGAACAGCAATAAACCTTCTCTATTCCACTGGCGGGCGGAGTCACATCCTGCTGAGGATGGGGTGCATGCTCGAGGGACCCCGACACGCCGTTACACACCCTTCACGTACCAAGCCGGGGGTCGGTGTGTTCACAGGGTGCTTGTGCGGGATGGCTGCAGGCTGCACGTGAAAAGCCCTCAATTCCTTTCCCATGGAGAAATATTTTCTGGCGGCCTGAGTCAAATCAGGAGCTGCATTTATTACAGTTTGAGATGGCTGTTGCCTCTCCTTTTCTTACACGCCTGTGTTAGCGTGGCCTTCCAATGGGACTGCCTGGCCTTTTTCTCCCTTCGAAGCCCCGTCACGTGTAAGGGAAGAGGAGTTTGCCTGTTCCTGTGCGTCTCATGCAGCTTACTTCAGTTCTGCTGGTCCCCTCGCTCCTCACCGCCCGGTTGGCTTTCCCTGCCCCTTGCAGATTCAGATGTGTGTGGCGATCCACCAGGGCGTGGCAGTGAAGTGCAAAGTGTACCTGGCGGAGCTTGCCCGGCACAATTACGTGACTCCCAAGAGCTACCTGGAGCTCCTGAGCATCTTCTCAGCCCTGATCGGGAAGAAGAAACAGGAGCTGAACATGGCGAAGAAGAGGATGAAGAGTGGCTTGGACAAGGTTGGTTCCTCAGAAGCAGGGGCGCTCTGGACTCCCGTCATCTGTTTAGTGGGTGTGCTCTTACAGCCACAGGCGCTGCTGCAATACCCCCTACGCTGCCCTCCTGCCCTTTCCTCACGCGTGCGCTATGAAAGCAAACATTGACATCACTCATGCTAACGTGGCATGGGGCTTCCCCCTCCTTTAGCGGCTGGTCCCCAGAGGGGTTCTGTGAGCCACTAAACGGGGCCTTCACCTCAGGCAGCAGGGGCTCGTGGCGTTAGACCCAGGTACAGGAGTGTGTGTTAAGGGTCAGAGTTGGTTCTGAATTTCCGGGCTGAAAACAACCTGTTTGACTGAGTGTGGGCCATAAATGTTCCTTCTGAGCCCCCGAACCATGTTCCTCGGGTCGTGGCCGGGTTGCACATGGGCAGCAGCTGCCAGAGGCATTCTTCCAGAAGCCTCCTGGGAGGCCTGCGTGGAGACGTGGCAAACTTTTGCCAAGAGGTGGGGTGCTCTCCCCTGGCCATACGGACTTTGGGGTGGCTAGCACCGTGCGTTGCTCCTGCGGAGTGCAGCACATCCATTGTGGCTTAAAGATGGTAAGTATCGAGTGAATGTCCAATCGTGTACTCAGTAGAATTTGTATCGAGTACACGATAGTCGAGAAAGGGCCGATGCTGCTCTGCAGTTTAAATGCAGTAGGAGCTGGGTGGGTAGGCAGCCCGGCTCCTACTACATTTAAACAGCAGAGCCGCAGCGGGAGTAGGTCTGGGACCTGGTGCGAGCTGGGACTGCTTCAGGCCTGGCTTGCACTGGGTCCGCACCGCTGCCCCTCTGCCTTTTAAATGTAGGAAGAGCCAGGTGGCTGTTACTACATTTCAAAGGCAGATCCGCAGCGCCGCTACACTTCAGCCTCCCCCCGTACCTCCCACACTGCAGAGATGGTGCTGGGGGGAACTGGCTTTTAAGCTGGCATTCCCCAGCACTGGTTCCTGCTTACTTCCCTGCACTTGCTGCTTCTGATTTAGAGGCAGCAAAGTAGGGGGCAAACGCGAATAGTCGACGCAACTACACAATAAGCCTAAGCTTATTGGCTAGTTGACAATTTGACTTCTCTTTTACATCCCTGTTGTGTCTGTGCTCTCTTGGAACGGAAAGGACAGAAGAGGAACATTTCCTCTCCCTGTGCTGCTGTGTGGAGTAGCCGGTATCAGGAGAGGACAAAACTATACCTGCGTCTACACTATCGCTGAGTTCTGTCGACATAACGGCGACAGAACTCAGCAGTTTTGTCGACGCTGGTAAACCTCATTTTATGAGGCATAACGCCTTCTGTCGACAGAGTTTCTGTCGACAGAAGGTGTTATTGCATGTAAACTGTCCTTTGCGTCTACACTATCATGTCGACAAAGCAGCTTGCTTTGTCGACAGAACTGAATGTAGTGTAGACGCTCTTTGTCGACAGAAGTTTTGTCGACAGAAGTTTTGTCGACGGTATCTGTCGACAAAACTTCTGTTGACAAAAGCCTGTAGTCTAGACGTACCCTCAGTGCTTCCACCAGCACATGCCTGTCCTGCAGGCTTCGAAATTAGATCAGCATTTGCACCAGAACCTTCCTCCCCCCCAGAACTTCCAGCCAATGCGACTGCTCGCAAGGGGTATGTTGCCACATTCGGCCCTTTGGCGCAAGGCGTGTACCGGTGCAGCAGACGGCTGCTCGTGCAAACGGCCATAGAAGCACATAGAGGCGAGCGTGTGCAGCTGGAGCGTGCCCCTTTTGCAGGCAACCCTGGGCACCTGGAGCTGAAAATGTGACCCTCTGTCAGATGCTGTGAAGCTGTTTCCCAGTAAGATTGTTAATTAAGAAGGGCATGTGCGGCCCCCTGCAAGCATCCACTCATTGTCAGACACGGCGCAGCTGGTTCCGTCCCTGGGGCCGGTACTCCTCACCTCTCCTTCCCCTTCTCAAATGGTATGGCATCCTATTACCTTAGCGGTCACTGAACACGGGGCCCGAAGGACTAACTCGTTCACGCTTCCCTCAGCTACTGCGCACAGCAGAAGACGTAGCAAAGATGCAGGAAGAGCTAGAATCAGCGCGGCCCCTGCTGGCAGAGGCAGCCAAAGACACGCTGGCCACTATGGAGCAAATAAAGGTACAGGATGCGCATTTCGCGGCTCAGCCTTTCCGTCAGCAAACAGGGCAGAGGACGTGGGAAAAGTGCGGTGGGGTCTTGACGGATCCTTCTCCACTCTCCCTCCCCCAGCCCAGGAAGATGGTGTAATTGACATGAGAATCCGTGCAAACGGGCCTGCCCGTGAATTCGTAGATTCTAAGGCCGGAAGGGGCTGTTAGACCCTGTTGTCGGACTCCCTGTATAGCACAGGCCAGAGAACTTCCCCCCGACAGTTCTTGGAGCAGAGCTTTTGGGAGAACCTCTCATCCTCCTTTTCAAAACGGCCACAGCCCATGGTGAATTGCTCCCGAGGTTAATTCTGCTCCCGCTTTAAAACGTTCGCTTGATTCCCAGCCGCAGCCTGTCCAGCTCACATTAGGCCTTTCTCTGCTCCAGCGAAGCGCCCATACTCAAATATTTTGTTCCCCACGCAGATGCTTCCAGACCGTGATCACGTCACCCCGTAACCGTCTCTTTGTTAAGCTAAATGGAAGTCCCAGAGTCTCCCTCCATAAGACAGGATTTCTAGCCCTTTCATATTCCTCGCGGCTCTTCTCTGAACCCGCTCCAATGGATCCACATCCTTCTTGCGTTGTGGGCACCAGAACTGGCATGGCAACTCCGAGCTGGGGGAAGGGCGCCTCTTTCCTGGCCATGGTGCCCAGCCCTGAGCTGCTCCAGAGCTGCTGCTGCCGAGAATAAGCACCCCTTCCTTGGCCCCTACCCAGCCTTGCCCAGACCTGCCCTGCTGGGGGACAGGCGCCTCTGTGCCTGCTGGAGCTGCAGCAGCCATGGAGAGGCGCCTCTCACCTGGCCCCAAGCTGCTGGGGTTGTCCTCTGTCCCCGGAGCAGCCTGTGTACTGGACCCCTCATCCTCAGTCCCACTCCAGAGCCCACACCTCTGCCCCAGCCCGGAGCTGCCTCCCGCATCCAACCCCTTGGCTCCACCCCCGCCATACGCTATCCGTGCCCAGAATGACCTTCATTCATGTTGCATCACCTCCCTCGCAGAACGGATGTCAGCCCACGCGTGGACTTACAGATATAGAGGAAATGCCGATGGGAGCATGCAGAGGCTCCCTGTGCCTAGGGGCTGCAGCAACCTGGCGCCACTTCTGGGAGTTGCATGGAGCCAAGGCCTGTCTCAGCCCCACGCCCCTGCTGCGTGGCCAAGTGGGCTTTTAACAATCTGGTTGGCAGCACCTACCAGTGCCTCCAGGGGCCATTTCCAATGGGGCCTTCCAGTCAAAAACCGGACACCTGGCAACCCTGCGCATATTGTTTGTCTGTGCCTACGCGATCTAGATCAGTGACCTCTCCTCTCCAGTATTTAGCCCTCTCCCAATTTTTGTGTCGTCTGCAAACTTTCTCAGTAGCTTATTCTGCTTTCTTCCAGGTCATTGGTAAAAATGTTAAGCAGCGTAGGGCTAAGAACTGATCCTTCTGGGACCCCACTAGCCACAGAACTGTCGATGCCTCTGTCCCATTTACAGCTACATTTTGAGACCTATCAGTTAGCCAGTTTTGAATCCATTTCATGTGTGCCAGGTTAATTTTGTATCATTCTCATTTTTAATTGAAGTGCCATGCAGTACCAGTCAGCCACCTAACAGAAGTCTAAGTATATTACATTAACACTGTTACTTTTTTCAACCTAACATCTCATCTCATCCGACCAAGATGAAGTTAGTTTGACAGGATCTATTTTCCGTAAACCCCTGTTGATTTACATTAATTACATTACTCTCTTAGTTCTTTGTTAATTAAGTCCCATATCAGCTGTTTCATTATTTTGCTTGTGATTGATGTCAGGCTGACAGGCATGTAATTACCTAGGTCCTCCTGTGTAGCCTTTATAAAAATTAGCACAACTGCTTTCTTCCATTCCATCTTCCGATGGAATTCCAAGATTTATTGAAAATCAACATTAATGGTTCCACAAGCTCCTCGCCCAGCTCTTTTAAAACTCTTGGATGCAAGTTTCTCTGGACCTGCTGATTTAAAAACATCAGTCTTTAGTAGTTTCTGTTTAATATCCTCCAGAGCTAGTAGTGGAATGGAAAGAGAGGTATCACCGTATGATGAGATTGTTATCTGTTTTCCCCCAAATATGGACAAATATTTATTGAACCCTTCTCCTTTTTCTGTCTTATCATTTACTAGACGACTTAGCCAGTGTTGCTGTGGTTCTTCAGGTCAGGAGGTTGGGAGTCGGGGGGCTTCAGGAGTCAGGTCAAGGGGTCGGGGATGTGGGGACTCAGGGCAAGAGGCTGGGAGTGAGGGAGGTTGCAGGAGTCAGGGTTGGAGGTGAGGAGGAACTCAAGGCAGGAGTCAGAGTAGGGGTTGAGGGCTCAGGGCAGGGGATGGAAGGTGCAGAAACCAAGGCAGGAAGTTGCGAGGTTTGGGAGGGCTAAGGGGGCAGAAGGTGGGGGTCAGCCCAGGGTGGCGGGGGCCGCACATCCCTCCCACCGGCTCTTCCCTGGGAGCAGCCAGGGCAGCGGGGACCATGCTACCAGCCAGCAGCTGCTTCCCCAGGGTTGGGGCATCTGCCATTCCTGTGTGATCATTCTAGGGTATAACTATCCCCACTCTTGCTGCCCCTCTGTGGTCGTTCGTGAGTATAACAGTCCCTGCTATCACAGCCCTCCCTTTCTGTTTGATGAGACACAATCAGATTCCAGGCATCTCTCATTGTCCTGACACAGCTAAACCCTGGCCTTGTTTTCAGTTATGAGAAGAGGAAGTTGCATACCGAATTTGGTGGTCTTATCTCTTATTGTTCAGGAGCAGATCTGGAACAAGCAGACTCCCAGACAGATGCACAAACTCAAATATACAGTCGATAATTTTCCCATTTCCATCTAGCAGTGGACTAATATCATTGGCAGGGTTTTGTTCCTAATGTATTATTCCAATTCGGATTGGCAGGAGTTTTTTAACTTGACCGTGTGTAACCCACACCCTGCTGAGCCAGGCACTTGACAGTTAGAAGCCTTAATCCTCCTGGTTGTCCTCTTTTCTTTGAGACAGGTGCTCCTCACGTGTCCCGTTTTGCCTGTAGCTGTCCCCCGCAAGATCTGGTAAAACAGCCTGATCACGTGTAATAAGCTGCTGACGTGCTATAGTGGGCCTGTGTGACAGTCATTTTCAATCTGTTTATTTTCCCCACACCTCTTCCGAGAAAAGCCCTGTCTCCATTTTATCCCTCTTCCCCCTCTCTCCTCCCCAAAGGTTTTTTAAACCATGCACGGCTGTTAAGAAGGCTACATGCAATCAGAAAAGTGACTTTAAAAAAGAAGCCGCTTGTTACTCAGAGTTGTCACTTCGGTGTGTCAATTCATGGCTGCTCACGGGGCTGCCAGAAATAAACATTTACTGCCGTTTACGGCTGCAGAGCCAACACAGCTCTGGGGGAATGAGCTAGAGTCTCTCCTGGCTCATCCATCAACAGAGCAGGGACATAAATGTCAACGGAAACATCGGGACTGCTAGCAGCGAGGCACCAACTCGAACATAGCCCGAGGTGGTGTTTGGAGAAAGCTGGGGGTGAGAGAAAGCATCTTGTATCCTCTATAGATTTGATCAGGCATCAGTGACACCGGCACAGACGCGCGCGCGCGCACACACACACACACACACACACACACACACACACTCTACACGTTGAACCTCTCTAGTCTGGCACCCTCGCGACCTGACCAGTGCCGAACCAGAGAATTTACTGAACCACAGGAGGTCAATATTGTCTAGCGGCATCACCAACACTTCCTGCTTCCTGGGCTCTTAGAAGACATTTTGGGGTAAATTAGAGCCAAATAGCAGCCCAGAACACTGGAAGCCAGACCTGGTGGCTATAAATAAACTTTTATGGGACTACAGGAAATTGGCCACACCCGTGATGGACATCCGGCTAACTCCAGTCATGCCAGGCTCTGGCTGTTGTCCGAGCAGAGAGAGCCGGGTAGAGGTTCAGACTGTGGTGGGGAATGCTGGCTGTTGTCAGTGAAAGGCAGGCCTGGGCCAGTGTTCTGAGTGTGTGTGTGGCACTGCAGGTGGACACGGCCGTGGCGGAGGAGACACGAAACGCTGTGCAGGCCGAGGAGATGAAAGCCAAGGTGAAGGCCCAAACAGCCCAGGCCATTGCGGACGACGCCCAGAAGGACCTGGCGGAGGCTCTCCCTGCCCTGGACGCAGCTCTGGCCAGCCTGAGAAACCTTAACAAGAACGATGTCACGGAGGTAATGGGGGGATGGAGCAGCCCTGGCGGGAGCCCCGATGGGCCTACGTAAGCCAGTAGGAACCTGACCAGCACCCACAGCCAGGGGGTCAATAGGTCCTGGGCAAGGTGGGGGGGGCATCTCCACACCCCCAGAAGGGTCAGCCAGCCCTTAGCACTGCCCAGGCCATGGTGCTTGAACCCCTCCCTTTGAATGGCCAGGCCCAGGGCACCTGCCCCCTTTGCCATCACTCCCCCTCCCGCTGGGCAGGCCTGGCCACATCTCTCACAACTAGCACCCCCGACCCCCTAAGGCATAGGTTCCCAAACTGGGGGGCACAGCTGGGGCAGGGGAGGATGGAGCATTCCAGGGAAACTTCAAAATGGCCACTTTAAAAGGGCAACACCTTCTCTGCTATTAAAAGGGCAACTTTTTTGTTGTTGTTGTTCAACAAGTTTTGCTACTTTTGGGGGTGGGAGGGCAAAAATCAAAAAGGGTCATGATGTCAAAAAGTTTGGGAACCACTGTGTTCAGGTAAGGGGCTAACTGTCATATAGGTGTGTGCTGGTGCCAAGCCTGCGCGGGGCAGGCCTGGCCACATCTCTCACAACTAGCACCCCCGACCCCCTAAGGCATAGGTTCCCAAACTGGGGGGCACAGCTGGGGCAGGGGAGGATGGAGCATTCCAGGGAAACTTCAAAATGGCCACTTTAAAAGGGCAACACCTTCTCTGCTATTAAAAGGGCAACTTTTTTGTTGTTGTTGTTCAACAAGTTTTGCTACTTTTGGGGGTGGGAGGGCAAAAATCAAAAAGGGTCATGATGTCAAAAAGTTTGGGAACCACTGTGTTCAGGTAAGGGGCTAACTGTCATATAGGTGTGTGCTGGTGCCAAGCCTGGCAGGTCTTATCTCAACAAGGACAAGTCCAGGCACTTGCACACTCTAGCTGCAGACTGTTAAAGAGCTTTGGCCACACTGCTCTCACACCGAGATGGCACAGGCAGCCAGGCTGCCTTCAGTCGTTTTAGGCTGTCTGGAGAACTCCGGGGCTGCTGTGTTATTGGGACCCACTGCTGCCTGTCCATGCCATGCCTGTCCATGCCATGCCTAGACCCAGCGGGGTGGGAGG